CCCCAGTTGCTGTTCTTTCCAGGAATAACATTTACCTACCTTGTGTGTGTTGGCTTTTCTTTTTGTTCTCTGAAATGTTTTGGCCGATGTGGTTGTGAATGGGAGGTGGGAGGAGTGGGCTGTGCTGCAGTTGCCTTGCGACTGACATCTCTAGGCCTGGTGAGAAAAGAGGGCAGTGTACCTAATGCTTAAAGCAGGTTTTCAGCCAAAACAAATCTTGGGGATAACTTAGGCTTATTCATTTTGCTGAGCTGTCAGTTGCAAACGTGGCCAAGAGTAAGAATTGACTGAGGCTTCAAATGTGTACTTTTTTTTTTTTTTTTTTAAGTTTGCATTGCAATTTAAAGAAAAATTTAAAACCTAAACACCATTCTGTTGGTGGCATAAAGCAGTTTTCCTCAGTTCATGTAAGGCACAAAAGACCAAGCTTGTTCTGGAAGAATTATCCTTTGACCAGAAAACCAATACCATTCCTTCTTTTATATACTAATGAAAAGAACTTGCTCTCCTCACACTAGTTCAATGGAGTAGAAGCTGTCAGGAAAATCCAATGAAAGGATTAGCTAAACTTGGCTAGATTAATTAGAGCCCTTGATTGTCTTGCTACGCTATTAACAGCAAAGGAAATGGAAATGATAGTGAGTCCATCCTTACAGGTATGTGGTGGTGAGGGGAGTGTTAAAGGGGAAAGCAGTTGGCAAGAAGCAAATCTCCACTGTTTCAGTCATTTCTTACAAGCTGCATCCGTTTCTTGGCCATCCTCCTGTAGCTGAAAACTAAAAGACTTTAATTGTTGTGAAGATCATGACCCACTCCTTACAATCTACACCCAGCTCACTGTTCTAGCTCACGTTTTCCAAAATGTTATTACCTTTCCTGTCACCTGAAGTTATGTGCATCGTATTGACCAGAGCTAGGGCTCGAGCTGCTGCTGAAGGCTTCTGGCTGTCTGATCCAAGGCAGGCAGCCTTCTCACTTTCTCCAATGTGTAACAGATAAAACAAATGTAACTTTTGAGTTCCACTGAAGTGTGAGGCCTGGAAACGCAGCCGATCACGTAATTGCCTGAACTAGTGATGGTTAAGTTCTCACAGAGCAAACCGCTGACAGTGGTAATCCAAATCTTGGTCTTAATGTAGGTTTTCTAGGATTTCAATGCTATAGTCATCCTATCTGCTCTTCTCAAACTTGCTGCTTATATGAAGGAGAGATTCCAAGCACCGCTACTCATAGAAAGCAGCCTGGATTCAATTCTTTCTTTTTGCGTTCATGTGAAATACATAATTAAATCTGTGATATCAGAATCCTCTTTCTGCTGAGTTGCTTTCAAACTTGTACGGGCTTGTTATGCAGTACATGTTCTCCTGTAGCACAGTTCTTCAGCCTGCTTTCACAAGGAAAAAAAGGCCTTGAGACTATTGAAAAGTCTAAACAAGAAGCAAGCTCTCATTTAGAACAGATCGCTAAGCTCTCAAGTGTTTTGTTTTACACTGCTGACACTTTTGACTCTAGTCTTTGTTATACTGCTGTATGACCCAGAAGTGACATGAGTCAATCTTGATAGAGGACAAATTCTCAGGGATTTTTCTCTTTCAACTGTTCAGTTCAAAAGCATTAACGTGGTGGAGGTAAAAATAATACAGATTAAAAAATACAATCTGCCAAACTACTGCTTTTGTACAGGGAGATAAGTGACTCTGTGGAGGGAATGCTTCTTGATAAGCTTGTGGGTAAAGAGATCTTCCCAGGATTTAAGCCAAAAGCTGCTGCCATTTGATTACAGTGAGTGTTTGGTGAGAGCTTTCTGATTACTGACTTTGTTCAGCCTCCTGTTACTTCTGTCTGAGAAAGACTTTCCTGCAAGTAAAAGATCTGAGCTGGGTATGTGAAGCAATCTATCAGAAAGCGTTCAGTGAGTACACATCCATCTTTGAGATGGGATAATTGTCAAAGTTAAGAGGCTCCTCAAAGTATAAGGAATCTAGTCTGGAAATATAAATGACTTTGGATGACAGTCACAGGTTTTGTGGTGTTTTTTTTTTTGTTGTTTTTTTTTTTGTTTGTTTTTTTTTTTGAGTTATGGTTTATGGTAGGAGCTGTATTGATTAAATCACTTTGAAAATGGGATTAAGGAGAGAAGCACTTAAAAATACTTCATACAGGATTATTTAGACCCCTCATAATAAAAACAGTCTTTAATGCTGGGAAGGGTGCACTCTGTTTTGGCATCACATCCACAGATATTTATTGCCTGCATACGCAAGAAAGATACGTACTTCATCAGCTCTGTGAAGACCAAAATCAGCACAAGTATCACAACCGAGGAGCTGATTTAAAGCTCATTTTGCTTTGTTTCAGCATGCCCAGATTTGAGAGGCTGTTACCCATGACATATGGGAAGATACTGGGAAAATCTTTTTTTTTTTTTTTTTTTTTTTTTTTTTTTTTTTTTTCCTCAGAGGAAAAAGGCATCAGGGAAGAGAAGAATCTTATGGTTGTCTTCCTGCTTCTTAGAGAAGAGTACAGTAAAGTAAGAACCAAGCTCCTCTTACCCTGTGTAGGCTGAGACTATGGCTACTCATCATAAAGAACTGGTGAGATTTGGGGATGCTCTTTGCCATGAAGGCAGCCAGCCTCTGGTCAGGGCCTGGAGAGGCTGTGGGTCTCCAGCACTGGAGCTACTCAAGGTACAGCTGGATGTGGTCCTGTGCAGCCTGCTCAAAGCAGCCCTGCTTTGGGTGATTCTTTCTGTACTTTATTTCATGATCTGTTTTCTTTATTGATGGTATCCATCGTGTGCAGTTGTCACATTGGCAGGATTAGTGTTGAAGATGAGTCAGCACTAATGATGCAGTTTTCTGCTTTTTTATGGAGAATCAGTGGCAAAAGACAGAGACTCTTTTGAGTTTGTGTCTAAAATCTTTGCAAAATTTTGTGAATATCTTGTTTTGTGAAGGACATATTCTCACACCTTCCCTCTCTAAATTCTTTCCCCATCCAGACCAATTATTTTATCTGAAGACTCAGGAAAATTTCTGTAGGAAACATTCTTCGAAATGTAAGAGGAAGACTAAATGAATCTCGCTGTTCCTTAACCTAAACAAATCTTTATTATGCTTTGTGCCATTGTGATGGTGCATTGTTTTAGGCTGTGCTTTACCACTGTGTAGCTTTATGTTTCTAATTACTGATGATTTATTTTTTGCCCCATCTCTTGGAGGCAGCAGAGACCTTCAAGTAGATCTGTGTGATCTCCTTGCAATAGGATATTGACACTGCTGCACAGTGAGATAAGTACCTGCTCTTTCTTTCTCTTGGTGTTGTATTGTGAAGCAAGGGAGTATTATGTGTAGCTAAGGTTGATCTCCTAAGTAAAGCAAGATTAACCCTAAAACTAGTTTAAGCTGAACTTGCTTTTTAAAATACACTTCTGAAAGTGAGAAGGACCTGATGCTGAGTTCAGAAGGTCACTTGGGCTGAAAGGTGACATCAGGAGGGCATTAGCCAAACACTCTGCTCCAAGCGGACTCAGTGATGAGGTCAGCCGGGTTATTCAGGGTCCAGTCTGATCTTTGAAAACCTAATCTGGCTACTAAGATTCATCTTCACTTTAGGAAACATCTGGATAATCTCCTGATTGCTGAGAATTTTGAATTTCTGTGTACATCAAATCAAGGAACTGATTAGAAAAGCTGAAGATTTGGAGATATGCTTTAGCTTTGTTGTGTGGCACTACTGCGATGGCGCTGAAAGCTGTGTCTTGTGAAACAGGATACTTTATTTATCCTGGGTTTCTGTAGCTCCAGGTGAATTAAGCTGCTTTGGTGTCTTCATTCTGATGCTCGGTAGTGTGTTTAGGCTAAGAGCCAGGATGTTAGTAATGCCAGGTAGGTGATGGGTCGTGTCTCTGTGATAATGAGGGCTAGAGTTGGTGTGTGGGTGTATTGAGTACTGACAAACTGGCTCGTCTCCTGCTCAGCTGAAACTTTCTCTGTACATACTGTTCTTTGCAGGTTATTTGAGGTTGAGTGGAGAAGCCCAAACCCTCAGCTTTTTCAACTGTTAATTATGTGTTGTAATTTACTTATGATGCTACGTGTGTCCTCAGAGCAAATTAAATCCTCAAGTATTTGGGGGAGAGTATCTTCTCATACTGGTCGTGGTTTTTAAGTATTAAGAGTTGTGGGAATTGATTGCTGCCTTATGTACACTGTGAAGTTTCTCCTCCTCCACAAATCTCCCTTTTTTTTTTTTTTGTTTAAGCACACCAGTCTGCTCAATTCTGAAATCAACACAGAACTGTAGTGAGTATCATGCTGGAGCTGGGGAGCATTCAGACTGAGCAGATGTGATATCAAGAACTTGTCTGGCTTGGATCACTGCTATGAATCAAATTCCTTAACTCTCTCCTCTGACCACTGCACCTCCCAGACCCTCTCGCCTCCCCCTTATGTGAGGGAGGGTTTTAGCTGACTTGTCATGCTTGGTAGAGTGTGAATGCAACTAGATGACATCTGGGTGGTCTTTTGTTTGCTTTTTAAAACCTCTTCTGTGTAACTGTGCTGTGGAGGCATGAATTAATTTGGCACTAAAGATCTTTCCATAATACCATCTTACCATAAATAAGGCTTGGTTAAACTCTTGTTCAAAACCTGACCTCTACTGGTGAGAGCCATAAATGGATGCTGTCAGTGAGGTGGCAAGTGCCGAAGAACCTGTTTTGTTAATGTTCTTTAGTCATAGGTTGCATTTTACTTTGTCCTAGGATAAATAGTTCTTGTGTAAAATAAACATAAAAATGCTAAGGAAACTAACATGTAAAAGCATAAGTCTCTTAAAGTTAATCAGGTTTTCAGTAGACTGCATATGCTTTGAACATGTGTATGAGGTCTGGGTGACCTACTTTGTAGGCCTGTGTTCTAGAATAACTTTAGTAGTATTGCAGACTTGATGCTACCTTACAGTGATTCAAAACGTAATCTTTTCTTATGTCTTTACAGGCTTGCCATGGGTGTACATCCCTAACCAAATGTGATTGCAGTGGAGTTAAAGGAGAAAAGGTAAGAATACCTTATGTGATTGACTAATGCACAAACCTTTGCTTCTGTACAGCTTTGACTTCCACTCCTGCTGTATTTTTATGCAGTCATTATGATTCTACCATTGGTACTACTTACAGTTTTACAAATTTATCCTTTGAGGCAATAGTGCGTGCTCAATATTATTTTTTTTGGTGCTTCAATGCTCTGGATTAATTTCTGACACATTTCAAAGGTGATTTTGAAGTTGTATAAACAAGTATAACATGAAGAACAAATGTGATGCAAAATCTCAAGTTACTGCTTTGATTCAATATTATACTATTGCAGAATTTTACTATTGGCTGAGATTAAAGAGGGCAGATGTCAAAAACTCATAGTAATTTATGGTGCTGTACTTATCATCCAGATGGCTGTAGGCAAATGAGGTCATTCCTTGGCATTTATTTACTTTTAGTTCATCAGGTATATTTACAATATACATACCTAGTGAAAAATAACATAACATTGATGGCAAGTTTAGAGTTTGATTAGGTTCAATCAAACTTCAACCTCGTTGGTGCATTTCCTTCAAATAAAGCTGGCTAAACCAGATGAATCATAGCACTAATAACAGGAGTACTTTGGGTTTAGTTTGAGGGCATTCCAGCAGTAGGCTTTACATTCCTAATACAACCATAGCAGGTGCAACTTTGGAGAATCCATCTGTGGTGTACAGTTAGCTGTTTTCTGAATTAGTCACAGATATTTTGTGAATTCAGTAAACAAAATTGTCTGGCAAGTTAGGTACAAAAACTTTGGAGTACGTTTTCTGGCCTTCTAAATAAAGTAATAATGGGAACATAGTGTTTTTGGCACCCACTTCTTAAAGTGGTAGGCACATAATGCAGATTTCCACTCTTAGAATGGAAGATTTACTGTGAGATCTGATAAATTTGGATTCCTTCTTCACCAAAGTCAAGTTAAACAGTGTAAAAGTCTGTCAGGTCTCAGCATTTTTATTAAACAGCCTTTCAGAAGCTTGCAGGCCATCATGACAGAAAATTAACAATGAAAAGTAAAGCCTGCACTCTTAGATGTGATGGGTTGCCTATGCAACTGGTTTGATCATACACATGCCATTACGTTAGTTTCCCTATAATTATGAAGGCACCCGTATACAAGATATACAAGAGCCTCACTGATGTCCATAATGCTTTCTGTTAACTTTCTTTTCCACAACCCTAAACTTTTTCTAAAATCTCACACAGTTGCAAGATATCTAGAGCTGTCCTGAGATGATGAGGCTGATCCATCACAGCATATCAGTTACTTAAACATTTGATGCGGGTTTTCAAGTCTGATACCTCTTCGACCAAACTTTCTTGCAAATTATCTTTGTACCAGTTGAGTGTAAACTTGTCACAACAAGCTTCAGGCTTCTGCTTTGTATTTGATGCTTGGCATTTGGTGTTTGTGCTTCCTTCTGTAGTGACCTCTGAACCAGAAGTCAGACTCCATAGTTCCTTGTCTAATTGGCATGTGAACAGCGTTGGGCAAGGAGCTGTTAAAATAATCATCCCTCTTTGATTCTCCATTGGAAATGTGACAGTGTACTTGTAGGACTACTGGAAGTCAGGTGTATGGAGCCTGATGATGTACTGGGAAGACAAGAAAAGCCTTGTCAAATGCACTCAGCTGAGCCCTGAACTTCTCTTTCCTTGTGGACCTGCAACTAGCTTCTGCATCCAAGTTTCTGTCCACTTGCATTAAGTCAACTAAGAAGTGCGGCTTTGTTCAGCTCTGCAGAGCCTAATGTGTCTCTTTGCAGACTCAGAAGTAACCTTCTTTCTAAGTATCCTAGAGTTCCCTCCAGGATGTCCAATTTCTAATAAAATAATACAAATTGAACTGCAAATAGGAAAACTATTTTCATATTTTTCCTTGGGCAACTGAAGCTCTTGGTTAATTGCTTCATGCCATCAATGATTCTGCCTTGAGCCTTTGTACCAGTAGTACATTTTCTGTTGCACCAAAGCCCTGTAAGTTTTGTCTTCTTTTTTTTTTTTTGGGGGTGGGCCCCCCCCCCCCCCCCCGCGCGAGGGAAATTGTGTAGTATAGGGGAAAACATGTATAATATGTTATCATGAATAAACAAATAATTTATTAGAAAAGTTAGAGAAAACTGGTAACAGCTTTCTCCATTCTGTCCTGTGCTTGCAATAAGCTGCTGCTTAATGAACTGGATCTGGTAAGAACCTATTGAAACCAAAGGAAACAATTGAGCTGCTATATACAGGAAATTAAAGCAAATGATTAAGCTGGTATATATGGATAATTACAAGAATTACTTGTGTTGGTCTACTACATGTGAATAATTGATTCTTCCTTAAGGAAATGAATGATGATTGGGTTTGAAGTAAGTGCTGCCTGGCACTTATGAGATGAATCTGCTCCAGTGCTGCTCCAGCTGATGAAGACTGAATGGCAAGGGCTACAGCCTCTTGGTCACCAAGAGGGCATGCTCTCCAAGATTACTGTGGCTTTGCTTTAAAGTAGTGCTGTTAAAATGTTTTCCTCCCTCTCCCTAGTAAGGTATTCCCATTCCTTCTCTGAGGCTTGGGTTTAGAGCTGTCAATGTATCATCTCGCTGAAAACCAAGTCTCTAGCTGTGATAGAAACATGTGGTTCAAGTTGGGAGGTGTTACAGGGCTTTTTTTGTTTTGTTTTTACAACATCTAAGGTGCAGTTCCAGCTCTAAATAACTAGGAGTATGTTATGCTATTCTAGATGATCATACTTATTTAGTGCTACCCATTCTAAGTAAGCTAAACAAAGCAGTCGAGAAGCTACCCTTTATTATGTATGATTAGTTTATGGCCTTTTAAAAAAGGACTTCAGAAGATGCCAAGATAACTGGGTTTATTGATCACAATATAAGAGGTGCTGAAGAATCCTGTGGCAAGTTCCTAATGTATCTAGGTAAGAGTTTAGTTCACAGGATTCTGGCAAGAAAAACCTGTAATACTGAGTTACAAGGACAGTTTGGATGCAAAGAGTCTGTAGCCTCTTACAGAAGCAAATAAAAAGAATCTTATTCTTGGAATCTTCTGATGTATGTATTTGGAGCTCTGAGTTTCAGGAGGCAATTCAGTAAAATCATCAAGCAAGGTTCCAATTTTCTTCTGCATTTATCACAATAAAATATAGTGCAGGTGTGACAAACTCTGCTGTTTTCATTGCTGGATACAAATAGATTAGGAAAAATTGAAACTTCTCAAATTTCAGTCACTATCATGAATAATTACATGCTTCATAAATGATGTCTCAAACTGCAATAACGTTGTCCTGTATTCTGAGATGTTTACAGACCCCTGTGACTTCTTTTGGGAGATGAAGCAGGTCTGCTGAAGAAATCCTGTGTTGAAGAATACAGATTATGCTAGAGTGAATTTTTTTCATTGTACTCTACCACAGCATTAAACTGTCTTCAACACTGCTTGTGTTTGTGGCTGGCTAATGTGTGTGGTTTTTGAGTAAGGCCTTGATTATATACTTCTATTTGTTAATGCTTTTAATAGGAACTGTCACTTAAAGCATAAGCTTAGGGTATTTTGTAAATGTTTTTAATTCTCATCTCTGAAGTAACATTTGTGTTCAAGCTTGTAAGTTGACAGTTTTGCCACATCTGTGTAATTGGTTGAGGGCAATTGCATTGGAACTACTTTGAATTAATCACTGAGATCAGGATCCGACTCCTTGCCCATTCCCAAAGGTAATGATGGCTTGTAGCTGATGAATCTTTATTCTGCTACGGAATACTGTACCTGTAGGACTGGAACATGAGGTCTGGGCTGACCTAAACCTTTGCTATTTTGTTTATTTTAATAGCATCAAGTCTGAAGCAAAAAATATTTAGACTTACTTATTTTTATTTTTACTTCTTGTGGTTGTTTTTTTTTTCTTTGCTTTAGGAAGAACAGGCTGGCAAGACTGACAGTTTTTGCATCTGTAAGAAAATATAGTGCATGTTACCTAGAGACTTCAACCTCACTTCAAACAACATAGTGTCCTTTTACTAGCTTTGACACCAGGGGAAATTTGTTAAATATGTCTTTTCTGTTTCAGTACGTGCTTGCAAGGAAACACAGGCACTTCACAGACAACCTAACAAATTCAGCATTACAGCATCTGAATCTTGCTGCATACAGTACCCTATATACAAGATGTACAGTAGGAAAGTCTGGAGTAAGAACAAGCTGTATCTGAAAACTCTTCTCACTTAAGGGATCTTTCTGTGCAACACTAGAAAAGAAAACAATTGTTGGGGGGAAAAAAAAGTGTCTCCCAACATCTGTATTCCGGAGAGCTGGATCAGCTTGGCTTCTCCCCCAGCGCTCATTTCTCTAACCAATTTTTTTTTCTAATCCAAAGTAGTGATTATAGCCCTACTCTTCCCTCTGTATCTGGTTTGGTACAGCTCCCTCAGAAAGCATTTGGTACAACTCCTTAGCAGTTTCCAAATCTAGTCCTTCAAATTGTCTTGTTCTTGAGTGTCATTTGCTGGCAGACTCCCCTGGCATTGCTCTGACAGTGGTTTCCTCATGTAACGCTCACATTGTAGCTGTTCACTTTCAAAGCTGAGAAGAAGAAATTAGGCTTAGAAAATCCTGTTTTCACAGTTGCCTCCTGTATTTCTTTCAACTGTTTGACTTAGTTTCCTCTTTCACTTTGAAAGGCTGTGGCTTGCCAGTTATGTGGCTGTTCAGAGTGGACACCTCAGAGCAGTTGCCCTTTAGAGAACCATCTGTCAGCAGCAGATGACATAGAAGACCAACCTTCTGCTAGAAGTTTTTTCTAGCATCCATTTGCAGATGTCACTTTCTCTAACGAAAGCATGAAAAGTGATCAATGTAAGATTAATAGGCATTGTGTAGCCTAGCTTGTACCTGATGCATCTGGCATGCCTCTTGTATGTATTTCCATAGTGCAAACACTGTTCTTGCCAGAGCTTGCTCCGAAGTCTGGCTCTGCCTTATGTTTTCCTTATTGGGCACTCCCAAATTCCTCCTCCTCTCTCCTTCAAGGGCACACTAACCCTTTCATATCTGGGCCTGAGCTTATAACATTTCTCCTGTCTTGCATTTCAAGTGAAGCAGCATCAGCTGTATAGCTCCATGTGAAAGAAGAGCCTGGAGTTCCGCATGCAAAAAGGCAGTGCTGAATTCAAGCTAACCTGAATTTGTATAGTAATCAGCATTTCCATGGGGGGAAAAAGATACCTGTCCTCTGTTTTTTAAAAAAAAAAAAAAAAAAAAAAAAAAAAAGCAATACATGATCTACAAGAAAAACAGTAATAAACAGTAATAGTTTTGCGTTTTAATAGAGGAACCAGGGTTAGCTGACCAGATAATAATCCTTATCCTAGAAGTTTATCTGAATCTCATTGTGTATAGAAGTAAAGTTACAACTCATGTTTGGCACACAACATACAAGCCCTAATCTAAAGGACTTCTTGTTTTCCAAGTAAGCAGTATTGCAGGCAGCAGAGTAGAGGTTGTGAAGAGAATCCCTGTTACTCTTGCTATTTTTTGGGTTGTTTCTGTTTTGTTTTTTTTTATGTTGATCAACACATTCTGTAAGCGTTTTGAATATAACTGCTAGTTTCTTGTCCTCTGCAGTGGAATGCAGAGCACCTGCTGAGGTAGTGCAGTGAGAAAATCAGAATTTAAGAGTAATTCTTAACCCTGCTATCCTACTGAGTACCTAAAATCAGCATAGAGATGCTGTGGAAACTAGAAGGGAGGTCAGCAAAGCCATAATGTTACCTTTCACATATTGTGTTCGAGGCTGCAAGTAGATGCTTCTGTTGTCTTGAAGTCTCCAGTTTTCAGTTCTTTGCTAACATTGTCCTCTTGAAGATATGGAATTCCTGCTTCAATTCCTTCCCCTGGCTGAGGAGATCTAGGCGGGGCCTCCCAGTTCTTTAGGGAACACCATAGCTGACACATTAAGAGGCAGTAGGTACAGGAGCTGCTATTTGAATTTTTGCTGAAGTGGTACAAGAAAATGAAACTTCAAGATGAATTAAAGAATGCACAGAGGACTGCACAGCTCAAACCTGGAGCTTATAAGGTGCTTGTTAGGATGCAACAATGAGCTCAGGCCTCTCTTTTGTTGGCAGTTCCTGGAGCTATGAAAAAATAATTTGGGTATATCTATGTAAGTTGCCTTGCAGGTATCTATAAAGCAATAGGAATAATGCTGAGTGATTGCTTCTTAGTACTGTGTATTTGCTAGTTGGTAGAGCTGTAGGAAATAAAAATTGATGTAATGGAAGAGTATACAACAACCTGTATGCAGAAAAAGGCACACCAATTCTGGTGTTTCCTAACTTCCTTATAGTGATTGTAGCTGTAATACTTATTGATTTGGGTTTTTTTTGTTGTTGTTTTTTTTTTTTATGAATCTATTGTGTAGAAGAAATAAGAGTAAATATTTCTTGAATTTACAGCTGTGAACAGCCTGAAACTGCAGGAAAGCAGCATGTTATAACAAACAATTTACAGAGGGGCATACCATGGTGTATGGTAGAGGTGTATCTGTTACACTGAGCTGTCATGGCTAATCATTGCATAAATACTCACTGAAATGTGGTTGCTGCTTGGGAGGTTAGAATTTTAGCATGAGGTGTGAGGTAAAAGGGATGAGAAATGTTATTTTGGTGTTGTCTTATCTCTGTTTCTCTTGATTTACATTGTAAGCACTTAGGACTGGAACCGTCATTATATTCTGTCTTTAGAGAGTGCTTTACCTGCAGCGCATGGCCACAATCTCAGTTACTTGTATATAACAGAGAACAATCTTGTATCTGTGAAATGATGATAGATAGCACCGTATAGCAGCAGTCCATAACCATCTGAGCATTTCTGTAGGTATTGCAGTGGAAGCTGAGTTTTCAGGAGAGACTTGATGACTAACAAAGCTATGCTTTTAAGGAAGATGGGAGAGTTCTGTGCAAATTATATCAGCCCAGAAGAGTTGCTATTGAAATGTACTGTCAGTAGGTGGCTTAAGTAGTGGATAAACATCTATGAAACCTGTTTAAGGGGTGTAGGTAAAAGCAGTGCCTGTGTACAGGAATTTCTGTAGCTAAGCTGGTAGGATACGTAATTGCATTGTTAGAGTTTCTATGATAACTTCCTACTGAAATGCAGAAAAACAGTTTGTTTTATGAATTTCTTTAAAGTATCCTTTGCTTTTGTCATATGCACATATCCTTTCTATAGGGTGAAAGGGGATTCCCAGGCTTGGAAGGACAGCCAGGTCTGCCCGGGTTCCCAGGCCCAGAAGGGCCTCCTGGTCCCAGAGGTGCAAAGGTAAGTCCCAATTCACTTGGACAGGATGGAAATGCTAGGTAGCATTAGCTTGCTTGTAATGCTGTTCCCAAATCATTCCAGAATTCTTGATTATCATCAAGCTTAATAGTAAAAATCTTCAATAGGTCATATACCAGGTTAGGGTATGTTAGATTGTTTGAAAGAGTCAACCATAAGAATGTTGCTTTATGTTTCCCATTGTTCACCTGCATGTGCCTGCAAACACTGTACCTGCACTTGTATGCTTTCCTTAGGACTGTTGCTAAGGTCAGAGAACAGGTTTGGCAAGGCTCGGTGATGTTGCTATACTGCTGCTTGCAGTAATGCATTACTTGATTTACTGATAAGAGTGGTGTTCAGCTTCTGGAGGGGCCCCACCATTTTGGGCAGTACTGCAAACTAGGATTTGCATCTGGTGGCATTCCTGGGCTGGGTTTGGATGGGGTGATGCAAATGAAGACATCACTGAACTCTGCAGAGACAGCTGAGGAATGTTCCTTGTGTTCCCTGCAGTTTCAGTTTATTTTTGTTTGCTACTGAATTACATTACCTTGTTCAGATGGTATACTATAGTATTTAAATGTTGAAATGCCTTTCTCTGAATGCATTTATATTTAGTATATATATAAGCTTATCCAGGATCTGCAAGTACCTGCAATTTAAACTAACAGAAGCATAGCAAACATGTGAAAAAGGGATAGTAGGTAAGTGATAAGAATAATCAAAAGGCTATGCTGAGAGAGAAAACTGACAGTATAACAACAGTGAAACAAGAAAAGGGTCTTCTATTAGAAGCCATGATTGTGTTTGTATTCTAATAATGCCCTTTCTTCTTGGCGTTTTACTATGAAGTTTGGTCTTTTCTATCTTGTGTTGCCCACAAGAGGTCACTGCAGTATATTTGATGGAAGAAAGCAGAAAGTGCTTCTGTGCAAGTTGAAGTAATGTTGAGAAATAACCATTTCCTCTACTGTGGCTTATCAGATGCAACAGATGCTTTTCCATACGAGATCCAATGCCAAAAGTGAAATTATTTTGAACCTTTTTACTCAGAAAGTGATAACTTATGTAATTGTTAGCCATCTTGTTATAAAAATTAAGAGTAACTTTTATCGCACGGTTTACTTTGATAGAACAAAATGACTGCAAACTTGAATGTTGTTTTGTTGGTGTGGTTTTGGTTTTTGTTGTGGTTTTTCTTAGGGTGATGATGGACTTCCAGGACCTATTGGCCCCAAGGGAATCAGAGTAAGTATTGGTACCTTTTCCTAGTGATATGCTGGAATTATGGGTCAAGCCATGTATGAGACAGGATCCTTACAGAAGTGATTTTGGGGGAAAAGAGTAATTAAGGAGAGTAATGTATTTGTCAAGTAGAAAAGATTGCATTACTTTATATAAATAATCTAAGATTGTGTAATACAATTAATTACTGCAACAGTTTATTATGGTACACAATCTTATGTGTTATTTATATTATTTTTCATAAAGCCATAAAGGAGAGTAATCCCAATACTGTGTGTATGTTATATTAGTATGTCAAATCAGTATGGGAGAGATTAATTTGTCTGGAAACCATTTACTTTTTGTGAATTTGCTTCTTTTTGTCAGACTCCTCAGCTGGCAACAATTGATGCATCACTATCTTCAGTGGTACATGGTCTTCTTTTGTACCATGAGTTGTTGCTTTTTTCCCTCTGTGCATCTGCATACTATTATCTTAGTTGTTCTGCATGGTCTTCTCTGTGTTTCTATGTTATTCCCCTGAAAGAAATGTAAGAACCTTGATGGCTGCCCAGTATGACATTCTTATTTTACAGATGATTCTGATGTTTCTTTTTTTGTTATAGGTTTCCTTTAGTATTTTTGTAATTCCTCTTATACATCCAGTGGCACCATACTGTTTCAAACACTCATGGTTAATTTCCTTTTAGGGTCCGCCAGGGCTTCCAGGATTTCCAGGAACACCAGGACTTCCTGTGAGTAGGAATGGGCTATATAGATATGAAACTGATCCATTTTGTCTTTCTGGCCCAGTAGGCCATCCTGTGAGCTTACTGTTCTATCCTGTTTTCATCTTCAAAGGGTTTACCAGGACAAGATGGGCCACCAGGACCTCAGGGTATCCCAGGCTGCAATGGAACGAAGGTGGAATTCCTTTAAAATCCTAAACTTTACAACAGTAATGTGATAAAGAGCTCCTGCTTTTCTGACCATGGCCAATGAGTTTAATTTATTGTGATACTTAAAGTTACTGAGCTGTGCATGTAATTCTGGAGTGATTCACATGCATCTGAGACTAGAGGTCATGACCTGATATCTAAAGCAGCAACTGTTGATCACAACATTAGTACTCTGCAGCCATCATTGTTAACTTCTTTGGTACTTCTTAATACTTAATTTTTTGATTGACAACAGAGGAATGTGTCATAATTAGAATAATATGCTATAATCTTTGTAGTAGACTCTTGCTACCACAGAAAACTTACCACAAAACAGTGGGACATTTTAATTATTACTTTTTAATAATAATACCTTGAAATACTGACTCAGTGTCCTTGTTGGAAGGGGTTGATTTTATTCAAACATGTTGCTTAGCTTCAGTTTATGATCTTTCTTCTTGAGAAGCTGATCTTTAGTGCTGTACTTTTTCCCTCTCTGCATTATAGTAGCTTGCCTGGAGGTTTGAAATATCTGAATTTGGAAAGCTCTGTTTCAGTCACTTGTGTGATTTTTGCAAATCATTTAACCCACAGATTATTGCAATTGCTAGCTAACAATGAAACTGGGCTTTTCAATAACCATTTGCTTATCTGTTTTTTTTATGTTTTTATGTTTTGCTTTTTGGCTAATTGTCATCTTCAACCCTAAGGGAGAACGTGGATTCCCAGGCAGTCCAGGTTTTCCAGGTTTACAAGGGCCTCCTGTAAGTACAAGTTTTCCAGATCAGCTGCCTGTAATCCACTGAAAAAATCCTACCTAAATCTGTGAAAGCTCAGTTAACAGGTTATGATTAATCAGAATATTTTAGATGTCCAGCAAAAGAGTGAGCTCTTCTGATGGATGCTGTGGCAAAGCGAATAAAAAGCCTTTTGAATTCCCCCGTGCTGAGATGCTTTACCTGCAGAAAGATACAAATGCATGCCTATGTGTCAGAGAGGGAAGGTCTGGTTACTGTCCTCTGATATGTGTGTGTTTGTGTATGGTGTTAGTGATGATCAATGAGACAGAAGAGATAGAATGGTTTGGATTGAAAGGGACCTTAATGATGATCTAGTTCTACCCACTGGCCAAGGACAGTGATGCTTTCCTCTAGACCAGGATGCCCAAGTCCCCATCCCACCTGACTTAGGACACCCCCAGGGATGGGATGTTTTCAGCTTCTTTAGGCAGCACTGTCGGTGCCTCACCACACTCATTGTGTGGAACATCTTAATATCTAATCTAAATCTCCCCTCTTTTAGTTTAAAACTATTCCCCTGTCCTGTCACTACCCTCACTGATAGAATCCTTCCCCAGCTTTGCTTTAGGCCCCCTTTAAGTAACTGGAAGGCCGTTAATAAGGTCTCTCCAGAACCTTTTCTTCTTCAGTCTGAACCCCTACTGTGTCAGCCTGTCTTCATAAGGAGAGGTACTCCAGCCCTCTGGTCATCCTAGTGGCCTCCTCTGGACCCACTCCAATAGATCAGTGTCCTTATGCTGGGAGCCCCAGAGCTGAACAGAACACTGAACAGACAGAATAATAGGAGGCAATAAAAAAGCAAATTGCTAGTAAATGGAAATACAATGCTGAATATTTACTGTCAAAGTACTTCTTTTTTTTCCTTTTCTCTTTAATGCTTGTCTCATGCAGTAGATCTGATCAGTGGTTTGCAAATAACATACCAAGAACTTATTTCTGTTATCTTTCTTTCATTTTTTGTTTCTTTTAAAAAAAGGGACCCCCTGGTCTGCCAGGTATGAAGGTAAGTGTTCTTTACTCTTACATCTAAGTACTAACCAGGCATGAGTGTGCAGTGTGATCTGGCAAAAGTAAGCTGCTTGCTTTCATTACAAGACCATATGCATCCATTGGAATCTGGAGTGAAATTCTGCAAAAAAATTTATTGCTTCTAAGTCATTTCAGTGCAACTAACTAGAAACTGCATTAGCTTGACTTCAAACTGTTTTCTAAAACTCATTCCCTTGGGAATGTGAAGGACAGCACCTGTTTTGAGAGGCACCAAGTTAACAGAAGGTCTGCAAACATCTAAATGCTCCAGTAGTGTGTGTGTGCACTCAGAAACGCAAGTAGAGGTTAAGCAATAGTGACTCAGGTATCCAGCAAAGGGAATAGTGCAACATCTTACATTCCTTTTGGAAATGTCCTTCCCTACTGTTTAGATTACTTACGTAAATGACTTTTTTTCCCCTAGTGTAAATAGTCTCACGATCTGATTTTGAACCTTTGAGGATTCCTTGTCAGTTTGGAGGGGGGGGGGGGTTGTGTTGTTGTTGTTTGCTTGGGGTTTTTTTTGTTACTGTATTCATGGCCTATTTGAGCATGAGTCAAAACATTAGTTTTGATTCATATCTATTTAAAAGGAAGCCTGACCCCACACACACGGAGTTATTCCATTAAACTGCTGACAGAACAGCGTAACACATTGGTACTGGGAAATGATGACTATTAAACTAAACTGCCTTTCTCAGCCCCTTTCATCCCAGTCATTGTGCAGATATTACAATGCTAGCAGATCATAGCATTTACATGGAAAGCAAAGATGTGAGTTGAAATCAGTAATAAATACTTTACTTCAGGTCATGAAGTGTGACTATTACAGTAGCATACACAACATTAGTATCATGCAGTTGGACACTGGAAAAAGCTGAAAGCCTTCTTTCCGTTGTGTCATTGAAGTTTTCTGTATGTGGATCTTGAATGTCTCTTTTGTGAAGCATTTATATTTCAATCCCCATGGTCTTTTGGAATTTAGATCAATGCTAATATATTTGTACACACACACAAAGAGAACCCTTAGCAGATGGTAGTTTAGCCATTTAAAGAATTCTCTAAATATGCAATGATAAATCTAATCAAAAGAGGTATTTCTTGGAGAATCTAGTGCTTAAATTTTAAGCTGGAGCGTACATACATGGCTCTACATAACTCTAATAACTCTAATTCTCTCATAGTTTTAAGAGTTGTGTTTTTTTCATCCTTTGGAGTCAGAATGGAGATAAAGATTTGTTGAATATGCTAATAATTAAAAGCCAGCTGGTTTTCTTCTAGGGCGAACCAGGTGAAATAATTACATCCTTGCTGCCAGGACATAAGGGTGACCAAGGATTTCCAGGTCTTCCAGGGATACCTGTAAGTTGAATAAAGTTCTGTTAGATGTTTTACCAAAGATGTAAATGGAAGAGTACTTCAATTACAGCGCAGTTGGAACATTTGATGGTAGGGAACCCTGTGTGTACGTGAAAGGGCAAGGCTCACATTTACTGTACCTCTAGTTTACGCTGTGAGGAAGGCTTCAAAAGTGCTTCGTGTTGCTCTTATTAGGGTGGCCCACAGAGGCCAGAGAAGTCCCCTACTCAGGAAAGCAGTGTCCAGCGGACAGCAGTATGCAGTTACTGACTTGCTTCACTATTTCCCCTTTCTGTTGCCACTTCCCAGATACTCTCTGTATTAATTCTGGAGCTCCCTTTCCTTCCTTACTCTGCGGTGAAGTGCGTAATAATCTGCACTTCTGGGCTGTAGCTGCTATTTTCATTGGGGGGAAGAGAGGGTAATGTCTCAGTTGTTCTCCTCATGTTGCATCTCCTGAGCAGTGTTTCTGTTCCCCCAGCAGTCTTCTGTGAAAACATGCAGTGACTTCAGGCCCTGTGCTTCCCCTCTGAACCATTCATTACTTTAGCGGGAAGGACAAGGGGAGCAGAAATGAGTCAATCGGTCTGTGCTGGACAGAAGCCAGAGACTCCCATTTTGTGCTACAGAAAGGCAAACCTCAGACTGTTCTGACCAGATTGAGCCTGTTAGCATTTCTGTTTCTCTGATCTGTTCTTTCCTATTGTCTGCTTTTGGATGGAATCAAATACAAAGTGTTTTGTTGTTCTCTCTCAGTGCATTCAAGAGAAAGAAACAACAAAAGTAGTTCAAAACAAACAAAAAAGCTTTCCTTTATCCAAGCCAAAGAGATGTATTGATGTAGAGAGCAGAACAGTTTTCATACAGCTTACACTTCTTTAGGCTTTTCATCTAGAGCAAATTGGTAAGTTAGAGGTCAGCTCCTTTGATTTGACACCTGTAGGATGCCAGCTGTGCGTTTGGTGTTTAATTTTGGTTCGTTGCTTTTTGTTGTTGTTTTTTTTTTTGTTTATTTGTTTGTTTTGTTGTTTTGTTTCTACCTTGGAGGTCTCACACTTGTCCCCTCGTGGTCTTTTTCCATAAACATTGCCTCTGATAGCTTCCTTCAATTTTTCAACAGGGTCCACCTGGTCCCATCGGAATACCAGGTCCAGTTGGTCCTCCAGGACCCCCAGGTTTGACAGTAAGTTTCTTAGCCTGTTAACCACAAAATGGTAAAGAAGGCAGTTGCTTCTTTCTTTCCATGTCCTCAGAAGCAATGGGCAAAATGCAGAGATTACTTTAGTCATAACTTGATATGAAGACAGTAGCAACCATGCACTCAGTTGACCCTGGAGCTGCTATTGTGCACATCTCAATGTGATGCCTTTGAAACATTCAGCCTGTTCACAGAGCTCTTTTTACTTTAAATTAGCCTGAATCTTTCTGCAGACCGTATTGGCGTTAAACCTGAGAGTTAAGATTTAGCTTATTTAGACTGAATTTTTAATCTTTTAATGAACATCTCGCTTAAAGGAAGAGCTCATTTCTCATGTATCTATGCAGTTTAGTTCTAAGCAATTCATTTTTTCACAAGAGGACATGCAAAGTGCTTGGAAGAGTAACTTTTGTTTTCATTTTTTATTAGGGACCTCCTGGTCCACCAGGGCTACCAGGACCTAAGGTATTTTCCGTCTTTTGCTGATGGTGGTTGGAGTTGTTTTGTTTTTCTTTCTGTTCATTTGTGAATTCTAAGGGCTGACAAGATTTACTTTTTGCAGGGTAATATGGGCTTGAATTTCCAAGGACCTAAAGGTGAAAAAGTGAGTAGGTGATGATAATGATGTTTGCTTTTCACTTTCAAAATACCTATCCTCGCCATTTTGGGATTTACTACCTGTATCAAACTGCCATCTTCTTACACGTTAGGGTGAACAAGGTCTTCAAGGACCTCCAGGGCCACCAGGACAAATTGGAGAACAGAAGAGACCAAATGACATTGAGTTTCAGAAAGGAGATCAGGTAAATGGGAAGCTATATCCATCTATAATCAAGATGTGATTACTGAAGTCTGCATTGGTTTGGCTCATATACGCATGCGTTCTACTGACTGTATAGAGCTTCTGTTATTTTTCTTAAAGCACAGACTGTTTTGGGCCTAAGTAGTTTTCCTTCAATAGAAAGCATGCTAGTCACATTGGCTCAGTTACTTCTCTTTATTAAGTAACTATCCTATGGAAGAAGCTGTCTCAAAGGAGACTTATAGTAATGGTAAAAGCAGTTGAAGTCTTCCCTTGGAACACCCAGCCTGAGATTGTCAAAATTGTAGGGATTATGATTCCCATTAATTAACGAGCTTAGTCATCCATTGTGAAGAAGTCTTAAAAGTTTTAGCTTAAATTATTTTTCTCTTTTTTTTTTCTTTCTTTTTGTTTCCCTTAGTCATGCCACAAGATCTTTCTTACTTGTCGTACGAATAAGTGCTTTTCCTGTTTCTGGACTCTCAAAAGTAATATCAAGCCATACTGTGGCAGTAAGCTCGAACTCTTGGTTGATTTATATGGGTTCTTTCCCACTGTAAATGCCAGAAAGTCATTGTGAGAGTTGTCATTTTTGAGGTTATGTTTTTTCCTTTCTACTTCACTGGGGATCATTTCTTAGTGCTGTCTGTTTGATTCTGGGTTCAAGTTACAGACAAGCTGAGCACCACCAGTGTCATTATAGGTGCCTGGATTTTATTTTTGCTTTGAAATTTCTGTGGTGTGCTCAAAAACCACCCCGAATAGTACAAGCAGTAGAAGGTTGAAGGCAGATACTTTGAGGCAAGAGTGGTGAATGGTTGTTTCTATGCTATGATTGTTTTGAAAATATCACTGTGGTGATAGAACTACTATGTAATTTTGAACTGTTAGTTTCTTCTATCTGTGTTTGGGTCAATTTCTTACTTTTCACCTTTTCGTCTTGAGGAATGCATCAGAAGAAAGCTTTAGTAGGCAGCAGTATTTTATGTTGTCAGTGCAGAACAGTTCTACTGCCCTATATCTTGATTACAATCTTTTGTTACTCTTCATTTCTGAAGAACATTGAGCACCACCAAGGTATCCACTGAGGCACATTTTCAATGTGCAGTCATCCTAAAAAGGTTTCAGTCTGGTTTTAGCTCTTTTTTAATATTTTTTTAATTTTTACTTTTATTTTTACTGCACTGTAGTTGAAGTAAATATTCAGCTGATTTTTATTACGGTCCTGAGCCATTTGTCTCTGTCATCAGGGGTATCTGAAGGACTAATTCTGCTGAAGTACAGGTATATGAATGTACAAAATCAAAGCATTCTAGCTACTTGCCTTATAAAGCATTTATCTTTGACCAACACTCACTATGATTTTGAAGTTTAAAGATTTGTTTATGTTTTAATACAGGTTATACTTGATAGAACAAAATCAGTAAAAAAAATTCTACATTACATGTATTTTTTTGTAAAGTATACACAAGGTTCTGGTGTGAATCCCCTGTGATCTCTGGTGAGGATCAACTGTAAAGATGGGCTTTTAAAAAGTCTGGGAGTCCACCAGGAAGGGGAGAACAACAACAACATAAAAATGCACAGAAAGCTTTTGTGGATTCAATTGCCTGTAGTGTTTTGTCTAGATTATTGTTACAAAGGTGTAACAAAACAAAATAGAAACCCTTAATTTTTCATGTGGAGATCCTGTGACAATTTTCTGTATTGATCCTAGTGGCCTCACAATTTCAGTAGTTACAAGCAACAACAACTGTTCTTCCTGTAATTTCAGCAGGATTTTGCATTTGTTCCCCTCTTTTCTTTCTTTCTGTCTTTTGTCTTCCATCCTTTATCTTATGTCCTTCTTCATCCTTCCTTCCATCCTTACCTTATTATATAGCAGCTGTAGACCACCAGAACAACAGCTGCAGAACCCACAGGAGTCAGTTGTGTCCTAGTGGAGCGAATCATCTAAATAATCAGGATGAACATTTAATAAAAATTAAAGTTTCACTTGAAGATCTGCACAAGTGAAGGATTGATGTGGCTCCTTGGAATTCTAAATGATAGCAAGAATATGTGCATATATATATATATATATATGTATAAATGTGTGTGTGTGTGTATATATATATACATTATATATATAATATATATTTTTATATTATATTTATATATATATTTAATATATATAAAATGGAGACACTATGGAATAATGGAGGCTTTAATCCTCTTTTTCTTTTGTCCATGTTTGACAGGGTATTCCAGGTGATCCAGGGCCACCAGGACTTCCAGGGCCACAAGGCCCTCCTGTGAGTAGACCTATTCTAGTTCTTTTTCATTGCATCTCTTCAAAAACTGTAAATTAATTCAGCACAGGCTTATGGGCTCAATTTAAGATTATGTTTATATGTTCAGGGTCTTCCCGGTGGCATAAAGGGTGAAAAAGGTGAGCAAGGAGAGCCAGGCAAAAGAGTAAGTAGTCTATTCAACCAAACATTTATTTTTCCAATCAATGTAATCTTTGAGAATAAAGCAAATGTTGAAATCAGGTGAGGCGTTCAGCCTCTGGGTAATAAACTTTTTTTTTTTTTCCTGTAACCTGGTAAAAAAGTCTGTGATGCATCTGGTTCTCAGCAGTGCTTCTAGATGTGGATATCTCAGGACTTTCTTATAGAATTATCTACATGTACATCTTCGTTTTAGACACAAGAAAACCTGATTTTAATGATGTTATCTGGTTACACAAGGAAGACTTCTTCAAAGTTCCTGGACTAGTTGGCTGAAACAGTGGTTTCCTATTTCCTTTTAGAGAAGGCTTCATTCAGTTAGTCATTTGCTGAGTTGCCCAAGCAGCATGAGGTCTTTTTAGGATGGTCTGTGTAAGCTCATTCTCAGTGTATTTATCTGTAAGATAAGCCACTAAAAGAAGTCTCTGAACACTGGATAAATGGACCAAAAGTCCATTTATCACACCTCAGGCAACCACTTCTGTTTACGTACTAACTGGAGACGGGACGAGTCAGGCTAGCTGCATCTGGGGACAGTATTAATCACTTTGTTCCTCTGTGTACACTCTGTCCATCCTGAAGTTGAAATTTATTTTAATATCACAGCTCAGGAAATCTGAGGACGATCAGAGGTGTTAAGAAGTAGGATGAAAATAACATGAATTGGACTAGCAAAGAAATATAAGCAGCGACCAGCTCAAAGCAATCTGTATTTTCACTTTCATAGCTTCTGAACTTATAGTTACATCAACATAATGGGCCCCTTTGAAGACTAAGACACAGATCTTGCACAGGTTAATCAGACTGTATTATAAACACTGCTTAGAAACAAGCTGGCAATAGATTTTTTTCAGTGTCCATAGGGATTAAACACTGTGGAAGATAAATCTTTGGCATTGTAGATAAAATTCTTTTTAGTTGCTGAGATTTATAGGCGAGGTTTGGTTTGTCTTCTCATATGCACGTGAGGAATTAGGCAGATTTACAAAGCCGAGGCTCTTGTTGTATTTTGAGTAGTGTTTGCCAAGTTGCTTTTCTTTGCAAAAGTAATTGGGAACCACATATATTTGCAAAGACCTAAAAGGATAGAAATCCTGAAGGGATGCAAGAGATGCCTTCTGCTAAAAGCTTATTTACCAACGTATTTGTTCTTATCATCTGAATGTTGTGTATTCAACATGCAATTTTGCTGTTAAGTGACTTTAAAATTGTATTTTAGCATTCCATGTTACTCTGTATGACTAAAACCCATTTCAATTTAGTTCATTTTTGAGAATCAGAATCACTAATATTCAAGACTACACAGATCAGAGTATACCCTGGTGCACGTATCTGTCTGCTCTTATTATCAGTTTCTTACTGATTAAGAGTTGATCATGGCACTATAGTGAAGCTTCATCAGTAGTGTAGTCAAGCTCCATTGGTTGTCTCTCATTCTGTAATGTTAACAGCAGACTTATGTTTGACTCTTCCAATGGATGGGTTGGAGTAAAATGGATCTGGCACTACTTTCACTGTAGCAATGGTGTACCTGTTTAGCAAAAATGCATGTTTTTTTGAAGTCACTTCTCTGAGCAGAATTCAGCTTCTTATTTTGGAAGTGTTCTTCGGAAAATTGCATTTAGCTTAAGGGAGAGTTAAAATTTAAACACACAAATGTTTGGGTTTAGTTTGAATGGTCACAGTACACTAATCTCCTAATTAAATGTAGCGTCTAGGAAGTTAGGATCTGTATTCCAAGCAAAGAGTTTCTCTGATGCTAAAGGGGTTTATTAAACGCAAAGAATCAGTAATAGTTAATTTAATACTGTTTTATGCTGTATTTGGTCACTTTTTTTTTTTTTTTTTTTAAGACTTGTGTTTTTGTGCTCTCATTTTCAAGAAGAAAACCTCCTTTAAGATAACTCAGTTGATTATAGTTGTTTAGTATCGTTGAGCTATAGATCATAAGAACTGCATTCTGGAGAGTTTGGTTTTGGTTTGGTTGTTTTTGTGGTTTTGTTTTGTTTTGTTTTGTTTTTTTGAAAAATGGGTAGTCAGTAAATTATTTCCACAAGATTTCTTCACCACTGAAGCATTTTATTTCCATGCATGTTTGTTTTTGAAGGGAAAGCCGGGCAAAGATGGAGAACCTGGTCAGCCTGGTAGGGATGTGAGTACCTCATACATTTTCAATCTCACCAGATCTTTAAGTTTTTCTTCTGATATGGAGAAGGTCTGAGCATAATTATTTTCTTTTCTTGAAGGGTTTACCTGGTGGACCTGGAGTAAATGGTGTTCCAGGAAGAGATGGTGAAAAGGTGTGCCAAGTTATTTGTCATCATTACTATAGTAGCTTGAAAACCTCTCATCACTGAGTTTGGTTTTGACTGAGCAGTAATTGCATTGCCTGTGCTGTTAAAACGTTGAGGAATATCTGCAATTATTATCTTGCATAATAATATGCAGTAAAAAATGCTTTTGATTTCATTGGTAGGGTGAAAAAGGTGACACTGGTCCTCCTGGTCCTCCTGGAAGTGTAAGTTGGTGATCTTTTCTTTCTGCATTTAGTTGACTGCGTTAGTTCATCGTAGTTCTGGGGTGACAGTGAGCTTGCATGTCCAGGTCTAAACAAAAACTGGCAGAACCAGCAAAGATTTCATATGCTCACTGATAGAAACAATTATATCCCTCTTTCTTAATAGATCCTGTGCTCTGAGATTGACTAGCTTACAAAAACAATGCTAGACTATAACCTCAAAACAGCAGAAATTGAGAAAGTTTCACTGAAGTTTATTCAGTGTTCTCCTGACAGTAAAGATGCTTTCTGTGGGGGGAGAACTTCTTACTGAAATTTTACTACGTTAATTCATTGAAGTGGGAAGAATACCCTGTCATTGGAATTAAGTTCAAAGGACATTGATCTTTTCTTCCCTTACATCTCTTTATGTTTCCAACTCTTTTCTTGCCTTGTAATTGAAGCCTTTTTTCACATAAATGTGAAACAATTACAGGTCATTACAAGACCAGGCATTGATGCAACAGTGGGACCAAAAGGTAGCAAAGGATTGCCAGGACTCCCAGGAGCCAAAGGGGAGCGTGGATTCTCTGGTAGGCCAGGCCCACCTGGCTTGCCAGGTTCTCCAGGTAGGACAACAAGCATAAAAACAATTTGTATATTCAAATGTATGAATGGATGTTTAATTTTGTGGTCTTTTTGCTCTCCTTTTGACAGATAGACTAATCAAAAAGTGAAAGCAAAACTACTTAGAGCTACCTTTAAATGTTCTTAGATTGTGGAATTAGTATGAGGAAATCTGAACATTCATTACCTGCTGTGGGGAACAAAAAACACTAATCATCAAGGCTGTCAAACAGATACTAGCTTTATGGCCTTGGGCTTAATTTATGTCTTATCTCTTACCTATAACGCACATTATCCATTGCATTATTCAGAGAAAGTGTTGTGTACTGGAATCTGGTACCTGGCCATCAAATCTAGTCTTTGGTATAGATTGACCAGTCCTAAACAAAGAGGTGATCTGAGCCTACTACAGTGGGAATGCATAGTGACACCTGTGTTTATCTTATATATGTACAGAAAATGGCTGTAGTGTTGCAGCATGTAAGTTTTTTGTTTTTTTTTTTTCATCAGCCCCACTTCCACATGTCCTGGTTATGTTTTTTCTTTGTAAAAGTTTGTGTAGTTAATGAATCTTGGGTCAATTTTTCAAATAAGATGTCTGAAAAATGCAAAATATGTGTGTGTCAAACAGTGCACATCAACATGCAGATTTTCTTTCCATAAAAAAATATTACAGCATTACTTGTACTTGCATGGAAAGATATAGATTTACCTGTAGCATGTTATTCTTCTCATGTCAATGTCATCTTTATAAAAAGGGTAGTTTAAACATTTTAATAGCTTAAACCTTTGAGCTCTAAGGAAATTGAGTTCTTCCCATCTTAGGGATCACTACTGTTGGACCTCCTGGCCCACCCGGCTTACCTGGTGAGAGAGGGCAGAAGGGAGATCCAGGTTTACCTGGTGTTTCCATTCCTGGACAACCAGGACTTGATGGACCACGGGGACCTCCAGGGCCTCCAGGTCCTCCAGGACCACCTGCACCATCTGTTCCTCCTGGTAAGTGATTACCATATAGACAACAAAGAGACTGAACAGTTTTTTGACATTCATTTATTGTTTATTTTTTTGTTAACTTTGCCTCCAAATATATGATTTACCAGCAGCTGAAGCCCATGAGATTCCAAGCTATTTGTATACAGCCTCCCAAATCACTCACATCGCAAATCAGGACATTTGTAGGAGAGTTCTAACTGATGTACTCTAGATGATTACAGAATTTGGTGTGGGTTGAACTCTGGTTTTATTGTGTCTCTTTCTACTTCAAGTGAGCCCTGCCTTGACTGATCTGTGACATTCAGCTAGATTGGAGGAAGAGAAATCTTATCAGATTGAAGGACCTTTGTGCGAACTTACACAGTGATGATAGTCCTCTAGGGCCAGACTGATTCCAGCCTAGCTGTATAAAATCAAATATTTTTTCCCAATTGATGTTAAATCCTTTTTAATCCAAATAATGAAAATCACACTAAAATTTCCACATAGAGCAGGAGGTAACCACTTTAATGCTTTCTTGAGTAAACTCAATTTTCATGATATCATCTAATAAATGCTTGGAGGGGTTATGACACTAGGAGAGTTAGAATTCCAGTGTAATTTGATAAATATTCTAGCGGACGTTTAGGATGAAAGCTCCGGTCTCTTTTTGGGAAAAGAAAGCTAGGGAATGGGAGATGGAGTTGAGAAATGGAACTGATGGAGAGGGGTTAACATGGTTCAAAGAGGAATCCAGTGTCTAAATGGCATTGGCATCTTGAGTCTCCTCAAACTGATTACATTTCATACACATGCTTCTATGGTCTGAAGCTAAATGTAGTGTAGAGGTGGACGTGTACAGCCTGTGGGAAAGAGGTTTTGCAGGAAACTGATGACTGTTGTGTAGTATCAACAGATAGTTTTCTTTTGAGTTTAGATTACATTCATGAGCTGTAGCAGTCCTGTATATATATATATATATATATATATATAAAGTAATTTTTTTTTTGTTTGTTTTTTTTTTTCTTTTTTTTTAGCAGAATGCATGTATTCTAATACAGTTTGATCATGAAATCCTTCCTGCTTCTTCTTAGGTGAAGGGTTATGTGAGCGGGGTCCACCAGGTCCTCCAGGAATTCCAGGGCAACAAGGCTTTGCTGGAGAGAGAGGCCAAAAAGGTGCAGTACCATGGCTATATTTTAGGGTTTTTTTTCCTCTCTTTTTGTTAAAGCTTGTTAAACAGTATAAAGCTTGCATTAAATAAGGGTAAACAGTGCCTCTTCCTGGTAGGGTTGACTGTAGATGTTTTGTGTTTATGAGTAAGAAGTCTATTTTGTTAGGACTTAGGATAGCCTCTCCTTTAGCATGAGAGCACTGGAATCTCAAAGTGACTGAGGGTGTAACCAATTTGCATGTGAGCCTTGCATGGGTAATCATTAATGTGAAATGTAGCTTTGGATTTTAAAGTACTTTCCAGATAGATAGAATCTCAAAATACTTGTAACAGCGGTTGCCAACTCCATGTGAGAATGTTAGAACATTTTATACTTAATGAATAAACGCAACATTTTGTAAGGAAAGCAGCATTGAAATTCTAAATAGAAGATTCATTATTTGGGTTGGTCAGTCTAGAATGAGTTTGTCTGCTTGTTTGGTGAGGAAAAGAAAGGTATCTTTAATGTGTATCCTTGTCTCCAAAAAGACAACCTTGCAATGAGGATGCTGATATGGGTAAGTGAGAATCTTTTCCTGGCTCATCCATGGACATCTTAGATGACTTTGAGCATCTCACTTAATTCTGTACTCATTTCAAACATGGATTTTGTAAGGATTAATTGATTAACCTTAATGAAGTCTTTTAGTTAATACAGTGGTAAATGTCATAGAAAAGTCTGTATGTGAATGAAATTTTTAAACTTTGTGGAAAAAACTACTTTTTTTGTTTTAATTGTATGCATTTTTAGTGTATTGTCAAGTCAACCAAACATCCCCAGTATTGATTTTTGCCCTCTTGGATCTTAATTAAATTTCAGGATTTTAGTGTATGTGTTTTGGGATTTTAGTTTGAAGTGTTGAGACCCTACTGTAAAGGTGACTAATTGCCAAGAAAAAGGTTCAGTTTTATTCTTCATTTTTGTAAGCTTTTGTTTTGTTTTGTTTCATACTACACTACCCTAAATACATTCTAACCATATATATTATTTGCCTGATTCACAGTGACCAAAAAGCTTCAGTTTTGCCTTCATCAGGGAAGCATTCTGATATTTAAGTTATCAAATTGTTACATCAAATTGTCATTTTGGACCTGATATTACAGATCAGTAGCAAGAGTTTTTAATATCTTCTGAGATCTGATGCTCAAGTATTCTTTTTTTAATGCAACTCTTCGTAGGTGACCAAGGAGACACATGCTTCAATTGTATAGGAACTGGAATATCTGGGCCTCCTGGTGAGAGAGGACCACCAGGACCTCCAGGTAGTCCAGGTAAGGTTGTAGTCTTCACTATTTTACATAATATATTCCACTAAGCCACTTCAAATTTGAGTATTTGTTTATTGTGTTCAAATTCAGATGCACAGTTGCAGTCTCAGGCATATAGGTGGCTTGTGTCCTGTCTCACCCAGCTAGGGACTATAAGAAGGAAACAGGCTGCATATGTGTAAAATAAGCACTCACTTTTTTAAATCTAGTTTCAAAAATAGTAATTTTCTGATCAAAGACAGGCTTACAAGCATTCTGCCTCTTGAAGGTACATGGCTTGCTGTAGATTTAGCTGAAAGAGAAAAAAAAATCTGCTACTTGCTGTTTCTGAATGATAGAAGAGCTGGAACTTTTTAAGTGGAATGTTTTTGAGTTATGGGTTTTGTTCTGCCCAAGTAAAATCAAACTCACTTACTAAACCTTACCCGATTTTAAACAGTTTAGCCTATTATCTTGTGCAAACAGCGTGTTTCGTATTTACAGCTTCTATATTTTAATGTCTTTTTTATCTTTTCCTGCACTACTCAGGTTCTCCTGGTTTTCCTGGGCCAAAAGGTGAAAAGGGGCTTCCAGGATTAACTGGCCTTGTAGGGCCACCAGTAAGTGGCTCTGTTATGTTTCACTGAGAAAACAGAACATCTCATTTGTCTTGTGTCTGATAGATCTGTGTACAAATTCTTGTCTTATATGAATACTTTTTGGTGTGTCCCTTAGCTAGTTTGAACACAATTCCTATGTTGTGCCAATCTCAGACATGACTTGAAAGGATAAAGAAGTTGTTTATTTGTTTTCCCTCAGGGATTCCCAGGGCCACCAGGTGCTCCTGGGAGACCTGGTCCTAAAGGAGACCCTGGGGATGTCTTGGCTTCACCAAGAATGAAAGGTGACAAAGGAGACCCTGGCTTCCCTGGACCTCCAGGTCTTCCTGGAATAGATGGCACTCCTGGACGAGATGGATTGCCAGGTCTGCCTGGCCCTAAAGGGGAGCCTGTGAGTCCCATTTTATGATCTCTTGATTGGATACATGTTTTGGGTGCATTTGGGATTGTGCAGATAAGAGGACTGACAAATGCAGATTTTTCTTAATGTGATTAACTCAATAAATCTCTTCGGTAGATGCTAATCTAGTGATGATACACTGAGTAGTCCCTGCCACCTGTCAGTGCCTCTTAGATTATATCACTTGGTCCTTTCCATTGTTCTCTGTATTTCACCTACATAGCATGAAGAATTAATTAGGTTTAAGTCTTGTCTTTACCATGTTATTAAGATGCTGACAGCTAATGGCCATGCAGGTTAGAAGGAAGAAAGTTGTCAAATAGTTTCAAAGCAGAGGAAATTAAATAATTCAAACGCTCCCCTTTTTTTATACTGCTGTTTTTATTTTCAGGGCAGTGTTGCATTCAAAGGAGAAATGGGAATTCCAGGTGACCCAGGAGTACCAGGTCTTCCTGGAGACAAAGGGCTTCCTGGACCTCCTGGTTTCGGTCCACAAGGTTCACCTGGTGAAAAGGGCATCCAAGGTGTATCAGGTCGTCCAGGGCCTCCTGGAGTTCCTGGTGAGTTAGTCTCTGTGTGTTCTTGAACAGAAGCTGTAAGTTTTTTTCCATGGGCTCTGGACAGTTCTCAGAACATAATGCTGCATTTAAGCTTTTCTCAAAGGCATTTGTACGCTCCCTTACTGAAAGTGACCACAGAATTGCAAAGTGAGCTGGAATTTCATATTACTATAGGAATATAACTTTCCCTTCTGCTCTGACCTCTAGAGAAGCTTCTACTTTTTAATTTGCTTGAGTAGAAATGCACTGTATCTTCCATGTGTACGCTTAATTATGATGTGACCACAACTGCTTTTAGAAACAAGGGTTAGCTTTTGTTACTTCTTTGTCAGCTGCACAGATCCTAAGCAAGTTGTACTGAAATTGCCTATGGAAAGTACTATTCACATCATGGTACCTTGGAGGAAGCTAAAAAATGATCTTCCAGAAAATTCTTACATAAATAATGCTTCTAAGCCTGTAAGTGCTGTATGGGGCTCAGAGTCAGATAGCCTATTAGGTAAAGTCTTTGTGGTGTTTATGTTCTTTGTAAGCCTGAGATATGGCTAGCAACTTTTCTTTCTACTCAAATACAGAGAAGAAAATTCCATTGACTGATATAAATTTATTCTTTTCTGTCTCAGGTCCAAAAGGTGACCCTGGTCAGACTATTACAGAACCAGGAGTTCCTGGTCCCCCTGGTCCTCCAGGAAGAAATGGTGACCCAGGTCTTCCAGGTAAAGCAGCAACTTTACCAGTCTATGGGATTCCAAGAGCAGTTTGTTTTCCTTATGATTGATTTTTGGTAACTAATTTGACTTTCTTCTTTTTACAGGGGATCCTGGTCAGCCAGGTCAGCGTGGCTTATCAGGCATCCCAGGTGCAAAGGGAGAGCCAGGTATTCCTGGCATTGGACTTCCAGGTCCACCAGGCCCAAAAGGTATATTTGCAACTATGTTGCTGTACTTAACATCTGAAAGAGGGGACGCTGAGGATTGTGCCTCTTCACATCTTTAGACTTACAGAAATGGCAGCAAGAAAACCATGTGCTGAGCTCTCATTCCTCTGATCTCTGTACTGCTCCTTTGTGGTAGCTTGCATTTTTCACTAATCCAAGGATGCAAAAGCAAATGGAAAAAGCTTTGAGAAATTATGAAAGATTGAGCTATTGATAAATGATTTCCAAATGTTCTCTCAGGATTTTATTGTTCCGGATGTGAACTGTTTATAATTGGTGTTAGAACACACAGCAAGGCGAGTGGGACTCTGATCAGAGGAGAGCACAGATCCTCTGTGCAAAAGACTGCATACTCAAAGCTGTCTCAGCCAAAAGGGTACTTCCTGATTATCCTGGAGCTTTTCTGGAATCACTTTTCATGTTACCTGAACATTTTTGGAAGAGTTGTTCTGATGCTCTCTGATATCTTTTCCTCTGCTGCCCTAACCATTATGTCTTGTGTAGGTTTCCCAGGGACTCCAGGCCCACCCGGAGCTCCAGGAACTCCAGGTCGCCCTGGCCTAGATGGACCTCCAGGACCACCTGGTTTCCCAGGCCAGAAGGTCTGTGCTTGCTTTTTTAATGTAAAGATTCATTTTATTGAAAGTTCTTTTGCATCTGTGAAGTTTGATAGGTAGGGAGGTTCTCACCTCTTGTTTTCAGCTTTTCATGGTGAGGAAATCTCTACTTGAAGCTTGAATGAGTGTAAACAAAAAGAAACTAATTCTTGAGATGATGTGTGTTTCTTCTTTACTGCTCTAGCACTTCCCAGGAGAGACTAAACTCAGAAACCTTCGTTTTAAAATCTGGTGATTTGAATTTGTTACAGGGGGATCGTGGATTTGGAGTTCCAGGACCACCTGGACCCCCAGGACCACCAGGCATAAAAGGAGTTCAGGGACCTAAAGGTGATCCTGGCTTCCCAGGAAACCCTGGACTTCCAGGACGGGCAGGTTTTGATGGAACTCCAGGACCAAAAGGTATAGAGAAGTCTCCCCTTTTCTGTTCTCTTTTGAGCTTAAAAACTGTTAATGCAATAGGAATCACATGGCAATTACTTCAGAATCCATTTTTCCAAAGCAGAGTTCCCTGTGTAAAAGGAAACTTGTATTCTCAAAAGGCAAGTAAGCAAGAGAGTAGATACCAACTTGTGGGTTAGTCTCTGAAAGTCTGTCATCTAGAGACAAATCATGTTTCTGTGGGAGTAAAACTTGCAGTAGGGTAATGGTCATTTTTGATACTCTGTGCGTAGAAGAACAGTGTGTCAGCAACTGATGAACTCCTATTGTTCTATTAATAATTACCTGTACTACACTGTGGAGTATGTCCAGTTTACTAAGGAGCATCTGTTAAGTTAGGTGTGGATTATGATGCAACTATCTGTCCCTGTGTAGTATAGAAATGTAAACTCTGTATATTCCAGAGAGAAAGAGAGAGCAAATCTCTGGCTTGCCTTTGAGGTGTATTTTTTTTTCCTATATCAGATCCATATTTATTTTGCTTGCAAAAACAAGATTTCAGAAACAATATGCAAGCATTACTGTGCATCCAAAAGTAAAAATCTCTGAATTGAGTTCACTATTTAACTAAGCAAGAATGTTCTTTTAGGTGACCCTGGACCAAGCGGACCACCAGGCCTTCCAGGCCCACCAGGCATCCCTGGCATTGGAGGCCAAGGGCCACCTGGACCTCCAGGACCACCAGGTCCTGTTGGCCCACCAGGTAAAATGCATATGAATTGTACCCTCAGTGTTGACATACTTCAAGCAGGTATATGGAATATTCAAGGTCCCTCTGAGCAGATAGATAAAGAAAAATGGAAATTTCGTGTCTGTTGGCTTGGCTGTCTTGACAGTGAAGTGAGCGAAACTTAGTGCAATGTTTTTTACTGAAATCAGAAACATATTCAAACTTGCTGTTTTCATGACATACAGAGCTTGGGTTGTAAAACCTATTTTTTTTTTTCTCTGCCTCAGCAGAGATTCCAGGAAATGTTGTATACAGATTGTGACACAATCTCTGTAAAGGAGTTTCACAATATTTACACTCCAGGACAAGACAGAAGGTAGCACAGTGTCAGTGTAGAGGTCTGGGGACAGAGAAAGGAGGAAAGCTGCCTTTAGATACCTGTGTTGTGCTGTTATTTCTTTGCTTTCAAATAGCAAGATGGTTCCTAAATTCCAAAACAGCTTTCTATCTTTCCAAACTCTGTATTCCAAGTTCACTGGGTGACAGATGTTTTTAAACTGTTTCTTTTCATTATTGTCTATAAATCTGTGTGTTTGGAAAAAAAGCAAACAAATTAAATCCTCTATACAGTGCTAGTTATCCTCTGCTTAAATGGTGAGGGTGAAGTCAGGAGAGTAATTCAGGTTCTCACTTATGTGATTAGGCACTTTTTATTACAATGGAAGCTGAAGCACAGTTTTACTCAGTTAATGGAGAGGAAGAAAGAATGAGTATTCTAAACTAGCCTGTTCATTATTTTGTAGAGGAGAACTGTAGAAGAGGTCATATACCTTCAATTTGCCATAAGTACATCTTGAAAACACATTTAGAATTCCTCTTTCAGAAATTCTGAATTCAGGGTGTTCTGATTCCTTCTCTTAAATCTGTAAGGCCTGCAAGTTTTATGAGTCCTGATAGGTTTAAAGTAGATTAACAAAGTAAGATGTAAAGATAGTGATAATCAGAATTCTATGTCTAAAGGGGACTTGATTGCATTTTGTGTAAAATGACTGCTGATAGATGAAGATATGTGTTCTCTCTCTGTACACGAAGATTACATGTGCATGCATGTAATTTACAGAGCTTGTTTAGAGAGGTTCTTTTATTCCTGCACTCAGTGTGGTCTTGCTGTGCACCAGCCCCTGATGTTGTAAGTGCATGACAGTAACCACAGTTAGCACATTCTCTGTTGATATGACCCTCAAACATATTTTTTCACTAATTTCCCAATTGGGAAAAGAACATGTGGTTGCTGCACCTGCATGTCTTGAATGTGTTGAGTGCTAAAGAGCTAGAAACAGAAAGAGGTCTGAACAAGGCACACAGACCTGAGCTATCAGACAGGTCCTCTGCCTGCCTTACTGTGCTTAACCATACTTCTCCTGAACCTAAACCTGCTCTTCATGCTGAGCTGAAGCAGAAGGCAACTGGAGTGTGTACTGCTGGGGGGAGATGTTAGCATAGGTTTGTATGTGTCATCCAATGCATGTTGTTTGCTTTCCCTGTAACATGTGTTCAGGTACTGGCCAGAATTGGATTTTGTGTGATTGTGATATTCTGCTAAATACCGGTTTTGACAAATGCAGAATTACCAGTGGAGCTGATGTACCACAGTGGTTATGTTTTCACTCTTCATATTTGTACTTACCAGCTACTGTGGCTACTAATGGTGTGGTTCCTCTGAAACCTACTTGTGTGGTTGATTCCCCACTTGAGAACTCCTTGTTCTTCCCTCTAGCAGTGTTATTTCTCTGTTTCGTGCTTTACCTTCCTATCTCTCATCCCTTGTTTCATTGTCTTTCAAGTCTGTTTTGATTCTTTTACTTGATGCAATGTTAGGGTAATATTTCTGGGGCCCTGCTTTACAGGCAGTTTGGAAAATTTTCCTTTTTCTGCACCATTGTTTCTTCAAGTAATTTGCAGTAACCTTTTTTTTTTAATGTGTAGCAGATTAATCTATAATTTATTGTCTATATTATTCTGATTATGACATGCTCAGACTTTTGAGAACTAGAAATTTGATTCAAATTTATATTTGCAAAGTATCTTTACCATCGTACATACTGAGTTAGTTGTATTACTAGGTTGAAAGTTACTTTGTCATTTTTGGTCTTTTTTTTCCCCCCAACTTGCTGATAGAACATGCACAATCCCTAACCATCCTTGTTTATTCTCTGCAAAGTAAGCAGTTCCAGGCACATGACTCCATAGTTTAGTTCAGTGGTAATCAACTGCCAATAGAGAGCATGCTTATAATTAACAAATGGATGTCTGCAGCCTACACCATCAAGGAAACATGATCTGCATTTTTAGCATGAAAAGTGCACGTCACATCATCATTCTTAAGGTTGTTTCTGCAGCTGGGAGGGGGTCTGTTAGAATAACACTGCCTTGTATTTGTGACCTTGTGGCGTAACGTTTCACATCTCAATACACTATGCTAAGGCACAAAAAGTGCAATAAACCATCTGGGCAAGTGTAAGATATACATTTGGAAAATGAAACAGTGAAAAAACCCACATACTGAGTGTTTTGATTTGTGGGTTGTTTTTGTTTGTTTTTTTCTTGTAATTGTTTTAAAGTAGAAATATTTTTTGAAAATCCCTATTTGAAGGAATTTACTAGGTACAAGAAGCTGTCTGATAGGATGCACTGTGGTTTTCAAGAGGTGCCTGCCCAAGCCAGTACATAGTAATGATAGTTTCAGGTAGGAGTTCAGAAACATCTTGCTCCTCTCAGTTGTGAAGGGAAGGCTAGACATGGAGAGAGGGGACAGTGCAGTTTGTAAAAGAATGTATCATTAGTACTTGAAAATACCTTACTTTGTTTCTGTGTATGGTGGTGGCTGCACTTTAACTGGGACCCCCAGATTTCCTTTCAGTCTGCAAACTCTTGTTAGCTTTGTATTCTTTGTACTTAGATCTGTTTTGGATTTTGTTTGCTTTTTTTTCCCTCTAACTTGTATGTGCTTTATTTTGTTTCCTAACTTAACAACTATTACAACTCCTTACTGCTACTTGTCTCAGCTTCCCAATGTGCTTTAACTCTTTGGCTTATAGAAACTCAGGGTCCCCAGCTACTGTGGTTTCTTTGCCAAAGCTTTTCCTTAGCTTCAGATTTAAGAAGAGCCAATTTTTGCCTTTCAAGAGTATGTACCATCTCTGATACAGTGCACTGAAGTGAAACAAGTTGTCTGCTTGCTTCAGCACTGCCTCAAGCTCAGAATCATTAGCATTAAACAATGTTGAACATATTCTGACAGTTCATGTTTTTCACTAAGAGAAATGTAATGCAGTGTAGAATTTTGCTATCCTTCAAAAATATTCAGCTGTTTTCTTAGAATGTTATAAAATGGAATTGTTAATGGAATATACCTCTGAGAATCTCCTTATATTTAATGATAAAATACGAACCAATCTAATCAATCATAGATATTTACTGTATTAATCAGAATTAAATGGTTACTTAAGGAAAGAAACACCTTTCTTCAGTGTTTGCTACAGCTTGTTAAAATTTTAGTACATCTCTTCAGGAAAATCTTCAGGGAAGTAAGGCCTCTAGTGCCTGGAAGTCATTAAAAATACATAGCTTTAAAAGAATTTGTGGGTTTTCATCAGTGCTAGGAATATATTGCAGCGAAAACTGGTCTGTTGTTCCAGTACAATGCCCAGAGACACGCAGATCTCAGCCTTGCCTTGTTTTTTTGGCTAAAAGATTGTATCTTAACATTGCCTAGGGTTGCAGGGCGTACCAGGAGAGAAAGGGGATCCAGGTCCTCCAGGCTTCGATGTTCCTGGTCCTCCGGGTGACCAAGGAACCCCAGGATATCCAGGACCCCCTGGCCTCCCAGGCCCTCAGGGTTCACCTGGTCCACCTGGCCGGGATGGAATACCTGGATTTCCAGGTAAGTTCACCTTTTTTTCCTGTGACAAAGGCCAAACTGTAGTTACAGGTGGATATTTCTTATGCTTGGCTTCCAGAGCTTCCGTGTTTATCCTATTTGTTTTAAGTTGGATACACATTAACTATTACATTTCATAGTGTTGTTGCATTCAACTCCTTCTCACCTCTCCGCTCTTCCCTTTAGCTTGATACACTATTCTGCATGTTACTGTTTCATAGCAAAAGTGAAATCTATCATTTTCATTATAAAAACGTTCTTGTTTATTTTCTGACTTCGTTTCCAGTCATTGCTACAGTTTAGGTTGTTTGTGTTTTTTTTTTTAAGGAAGTAATTACAAATGCTGTCAGCTGGATCCAGCACATAGTTTTAAATGCTAATTTCTTCTGTTTGTTACTCAGTCATACCAGTCTTTTTTTCCCTCTGGACAAGAAAGTTCAAGTTTTGAGGATTTCTGTTTATGCATGGGGGGAGGCACATAGAAGTTTTTTAAAGTAGTGTATTTGTGATGGTTTTCTTGGCTTTCAATAAATTTGAGTTTACTTTCAAGCAAGTATTTATTTTTCAAACCAGAGAATTAAACTTACTGGAGTTCTAAATATACTTTCTACTGAACAGTGCGCTGCAAATTTTCTTTCTAGGACTTAACTGTGGAAAAATTGGTAATACTGTCAAGTGTTCTTCTGTTAATTTAGGTGAATGAAGAACCAAGTGTTTGTCATTTCCTTAAAACATAGTTTGGGCTTTATATGCATGTGTTCATTAATACCATAAAGATACAGGCAAGTTAATGTTAGGTACTGATGGGTTTTGCCTTTTTGTTTGGAATGACAATGGTGATTCAATATGTTTAGGTGCCAAAGGTGAGATGGGCGTCATGGGAGCCCCTGGGCCTCCAGGGCCACCAGGGACTCCTGGAAGAAGTGGCCTTCCTGGCTTGAAAGGTACTGTTTGTTTTATCCTACCATGAAGAGAATGCAGAATGCAGTTTTCCATGTCCTGTGTGGAAAGTGGCTTTGTAATGCTAATGTCACAAATTAATTACTGGGGTCTGTGTGCTATCTTGACAGTTCTGATATTTGTAATTGCTTTCCAATTTTAAGCCTTAGCATTCAGTCAGTCTTTAATCGATGTCATGAAACGTCACCTATTTTCAAAATGTTATCCTTGGATTGATGGTTCCCAAGTAGGGCTCTCTCAGTGCGGGTCACACAGGCAGCTGTTTCCTCTGAGCTGACAGACTGCCTGCTTGCAGAACACAGACATCCCCATGCAGTCCGCAGGGCTTAAGTTGCTGTAGAGAATTTTCTATAAACTGATCGTTCAATGAATTCAAAGTTCATGAATAAGTCATGGTCAACCTGTGTAAGAAAAAGAATTAGAAATACATTAGCTTACCATATGGATTGTATTCTTTTATTTTGTTGTCTTTACCTACTATAGGTAATAATGGATTGCCTGGCCCGCCGGGGCCTCCTGGGCCATTAGGACAGAAAGGTGTCAAAGGTGAAGCAGGCCTGCCAGGCCCACCTGGAAAAGTTGATCCAAAGCAGCTAGGAGCAAAAGGAGAAAAGGGCGAGCCGGGTGTTCCAGGTATGGAACTTTGTTTGTGGATTCTGGGGAAGTGGCTTGGCCCTGTAGATAACAATGACCTCTAACTGAACTCGTTATAATTCATTTTTTCTTACAGAAAAAAATAAACTCAGAATAGGAAAATTGAGTCAGGTTCTTTTATTTTAAACTTTCTTATTAAATTCTATGACAAAGGTACGGCACATGGTTTTTTTATTAACCACATTTATTGTTTATTAACTATTACGTTATTTGGTCTACTGCTATACTGTAATAGCACTAAGTTGCTCTTGCCAGAGTTAGGGTTCAGTCTTCTGTTGTTATTCCGAAGTATGATGAGAGATAGTTGTCATGGCTGCTGTGCTAGCTGTATTGCTGCTGTCTCTCAGGCCCTTGGGATTTTGCCTTGTAGGATGGAATTGCGCAGGTCATCTGCTCATGCGTCGCCTCCAAATTCTCCCTTTGGGTGTCTCTGTAAGCTTACCCTCAGCTCAGCAAAATGTCATCTCTGTGTGTCATCTCAAGAAGCTGGAAGCCTTGAAGGTTTTCTCAGTTCACTCCAGTCTGTTTTCTCTCTTGCTTGCGTTTCTGTTCCCCCTTTCTCGCTCCCCACAAGTGTTCTGATTTCGTCTTTGAACTCTAATTTAGTCTTGAAGTGTAAAAATGTTCTACCCTAGAGGGAACCAGGATGCCAGCCACTATGTGCTAATTTATCTGTTGTATTAATTTCTGTGAAGCCTAGGTAAGCTCCTAAGTCACTTGCCTTTTTATTTTTTTTCTCTGTTAAGCAAGAGCTGTAGAAACCAAACTGAAATATGCCAGTATGGCAGCACAAACTTATTGTATGGGATAGTAACCACATAGTAGTTGTAAAAAAATCTGCCAAAATACCTGTGTTACTTATAACAGCTCAATCCTGAAGTGCTTTGGGTGTACTGATGTAATTAAACGCTTATCAGTAATCTGAATGAATAATCTGAAGAGGTTAGCATAGAGTCTGCTCATTCAGGAAGAGTCCCTTCTGAGTGAAGTGTACTGACGTTAGTTGAAAAGTTACTTTTTACACTACATGCAGCATATTGTTTTCATTTAGTAGTCATTTAAAATTTATTAGTAGTAATATTTTTTTTTTGTCCTGTGATACTTCTCTTGGTCAAATGTAGGAGGAATTATGTTTACTGAAGAAAAATCCCAATTTGGATTTTCATTCATACATGTAAACATCCTATAATGTAATGTAAAAGCTAATATCCAGTAGTAGTCCTAATAATAATAATGAAATGTATATTTTTCTTTAAGGTATTCCTGGTTTATCAGGGCAGAAAGGCTATCAAGGTCTCCCAGGTGACCCAGGTCCACCAGGACTGAGTGGTCCACCAGGTGCACCAGGGTTGCCAGGTAAGTAAACAAGGCTTCAGGTGGATAGTTTTGTTATGTAAAATATTCATGCATTTTTATATTGTGGGATTGGGATGTTAATACAGGCATGTCTAAGGAAAGCCTAAAGATTTGCACTTAAAACTGCTGCACAGATTGGGGCTGTTCAAAATTATTATCCAAGCAGAGTGCTTTGAGCTTTCTCCTCTGGTCAGAACCAAAAGCAGTTCTAAGCTGATTTCACTGAAGGTAAGGACTGCCTTTGGGTTGACTGGAGAAGTGCATGCTGATTGAGTAACCAAAATGACTGCAGGATTTGCCAGCAGGACTTGCATTTTTTGTTTTATGTTTAAATGTTACATTATGAATTGCTATACTTGCACTTTTTGGATGGCCAATTGAGTGTAATGTGAAAGCTGTCTGGATGTGACATCTCTGGTTTCAAGAATTCTGAGGATCAAGAAAACAAATTCTGTTTTGCTGCACTTCTTCCTATAGTTACCTCAAATTATCCGAAATCTGGGATCTTTGCTCACTGTCTGATGTAGGTCTTGCTCTAAATATCCTGTTGGGCTTTGGGAATTTTTTAACTATCCAGGACTCATGCTAGTTTAGAACACTGTAGGTCACATTTAACTTTCTAATAAAAGCTACTACTATTGCAGATGAGAAAGAAATAACGTGTTCGTGCTGCAAAACAGTTCACAAGAGACAGGTCACAGTGGTACTCAATTATTTCAGATTGCTACTAAATCGTAGGCTGAAATTTGACCCATTTAATCAGACTCATCTCCAGAACAAAGAAGAAATTGTTCTAATCAGATCTTGGCAAAGAACTGTAGAAGTTTAAATTTTCTCTGCAGATGGGGAAAAAGTTTGTAGGAGAAGCTTGAAGCCTAAAGCAACTCCAAATCCATTGCCTTTTGTAATTAGGTGACAAACATATTTGTATGATGGCATATTAATATCAGAAACTTTTAATTACTGTCATTAATTAACTAAACCCACAACTTTTCCAGGCATCAAAGGAGACATGGGGCTTCCTGGGCAGCCAGGACCAACAGGACCTCCGGGGCTAAAAGGTGCCATGGGAGAGATGGGCCTTCCAGGTTAGTTCTTGTGCTCCTATTTTACTTCATTTAGGCTGGAGCTTTTCATTTCTGTAATACAAAAGTGGACTCGTTTCTGTGCAACGCATGGGAATTCATTTAAATGGGAATGCCCAGGAGAAAATTCAAATACCAAGTATATTGCACATAATTTTAAAGTGTTTGCAAAAGTAGAAGCAGGATGATCTGCTTTTTGTAACTTCCGTTTTTTCTTAGATTCCATTCTGTGAAATAGTTGAGGAAAAAAAAAAAGATGATTCAGTAAATCCAGTTTTCATTAGACAGACATCAGATACAAGCATAGCAGGGAAAGGAGTCTCTATAAAGCCTACTGAAACAAAACCTCCTGTTTCTGATTCTTGTAATACTAGATTGTGCCTAAGTAATAAAAGGAGCTGTTTGGATTTGTGTATGTTAAGGATGGAAAAAAAGAAATCTTAGAGATCTCATGAAAAACCCATGAAAGATCTTAGGTAATTGTTTTAGTTATTAAAAATTAAAGAACATCAGTTATTCAAAGTCAGTTTGTTAGTCCTGTCTAGTTCAGTTGGTATAATTTGAGTGACTTCTCTGAACCACTGCAGAAGATTTATTTCTGTTGATAAAACTTGCATCTTATATTTCTGACAGGTCCCCCAGGAAGTAAAGGCAGCCAGGGAATAGCAGGACGTCCAGGGCAGCCTGGGCCTGCTGGATTTCCTGGACTGAAAGGGGAGAAAGGTGATCCTGGACTTTCAAGCATTGGCATTCCTGGTCTGCCTGGACCAAAGGTACATTTACAAAATTTTCAATAGGAATTTACATGAGGAAATCAGAGTCTGTATTGATTTTTTTTTTTAGAACTGTATTTTAATATTTATAATAATAAATATGTATATAAATATATTAAGAACAAGCAAGATTTCCTGTTGTCTGTTCTTCTCAGGTAGAAGCAGAAATTTATAATTTTACTGGGGATAAAAATTTGTATAATTTAATCTGCTGAGAGCTGAAGATGGTTTGCCAGACTTTCCAGTTTGCACTGATACTCAGTGACATTGTGACAGTTGATATGGATTTATACAAGTGTCTTTGTTCCCATGTCTAATGATGCTGTTAATTGTGGGGAAAAAAAAGTTAAGGTTATGCATTTAAGAATAAATTACTATGGGAATGACATGTCATTATTAATGCTGTTTAAAATTTTTAATATAAAACTTCTGTACTAACATACATATATTTTCTGTCATTTTTCAAGAATTGTTGAAAAGACTTAAGGAATATTTAGCTGATTTCACTGATGCTTTGGAATTGCTGTTGAGCAGCAATTACTTTAGCAAAACTGTTGCATGATTTAAATCCGCAGTTGTTGGATTTTTTCTTTTTTTCTTTCCCACTGTCATGGGGTACTGCATAGTAAAAGAATCTTGGCTTCTTAACATTTGATTGCATTTTCACAGAATCACACAATGATTGAATTTGGGAGGGATCTCTAGAGGCTACTTTTTCCAGCCCTCCTGCTCAGGCAGGGTCACCTAGAGCAGGTTACCCAGGACCATGTCTTTTTTTTTTTATAGAACATCAAAGTTCTCCTGTCTGTTTTGTTCAGTTTCTGATTACCCTGCATACAATTATGTGGAATTTCAGAAATTAGCTCATTTTCCTTCTACTTTTAAGCATTTTACTGAATTACTGCTCATTCCTTATATCCGTGCTTTCAACCCGTTTCTGATTTTAGATGTGTTTATGGTAACCCAAATAACCTTTAAGATTTAACATTTGTTTATGGCTAAAACTTTAAAAGCTGTCGTTGGTTTTTGAATATCAAACTACCAAAAAAATTGGGGAAAGCCCAGTCAATGAACTGGTATGTGAGCATAGCAATTTAGGGTTAAAAAGAAATGCATCAGGATCGCACAGGTATTATGTGCAAGGCAGTTGGACCTGGTGAGTTGCATCAGCACTATTGTGAAAGAATGAGAAAATGCTCAGCTCTCTTAATAGCAATTGAAAATTTGCTTAGGAAAAAGTATTGCTGGCAAACCGAAAATGTTGCTTTGCTATTTGTTGTTTTTTTTCCCCTGAGATTGTCATAAGAAATATGATTGTGATGGTGAGACTGGGAACGTGCAAGAAGGGTTCAGTGGTCCTACAAAGACTGGGTTCTTATTTCTGCTTAATGTTTTCTAGGGTGATCTTGGTTTGCCTGGATATCCAGGTAGTCCAGGCAGTAAAGGCGTAGCTGGAAATCCTGGTTTGCCTGGATTGCCTGGCAGTCCAGGTGCAAAAGGAGAGCCGGGCCTTCCTGGATTCCCAGGTAATTCTGAATAGGTTTTTTTTCCAGTGTATACATATATATAAATACAGTGGTGGAGTGCTGCTTCTACTTTCAAAAGCTTTTAGGAATCTGCTGCTTGTGAGCTTTGTGCTGTTGGAACTGTGAATGCAAGCACAAGTGTGTGACTACATTGCTTCAGAGCAGTGTGAAACAACCCATCTGCTTTGAGGGGGGAAGTAATTGTGTGAACCAATATGTTCCACTCCTTACCTCCTCTGACCCGCAAAACAACTGTTTTGGGCTCAAGTTTTTCCTTCATGAATCAATAAAGATAGTGCAATCAGAAAAGCCGAACCTTCTTTAAGTAGTGTTTATTGTCTAAAATAGATGTTATAAAGGGAAATCCTTCTGAAGCATTATGAAGTTAAGCTTTTTACTGTTTTCTGGAAATATTACTAAGTTATTCACAGATATATGTCATGTCTTTCAATTCTCCATTTACTGATACGTGATGTCAAAAAGATGAAGGTTTGTACTTATGGAGTGATAAAGGGTGTTCTACAGGCATACTTGAGCTGTCTTCAACTTAGGGAGAAAGAGAATTTGTAATACTGTAGTCATGGCAGCAGGAAGCTTAGCAGGGAACAAAACCTGGAGGTAAATCTGCAAGTATTTAACCTGTACCTCATTCCACACGTGGAAAAGCTGTGGGCAGTCAAAATGTTGTATTAGGGCACTCCTTTGATCAGGCTCAGATGATGTTCAGAATAAACACATTCCAACAGGTTGATCATTGTTCCTCCTCCCACTCAGCTAATGCTGTAGGGGTTAAAGTTGGGTATAAATACTAGGAAGGCTGGGGAAGAACTGGCCAGCCATAGTTCATAATGCTTTTGCTTTGCTGTCAACAAGAAATACCTGTCTCTAAAATGGTAATTTCCTAGCAGACTGCCAGACTGACTCTGTCCTTGGCCACTGGCACTCAGCAATTAAGAAGACAGTCTTGAAAGTAGCAGTAAGGACACTCATGCTAGCATGTTTTGTTTCTGTATGTTCTTTCCTTTATAGTTCATCTCCTCCATCAGCTTTAAAATGGACATAAATACTGTGTCTTGATACAGTTAGCTAATTTGTTACTCAGGGCATTCCAGACTGTGGTATCTCAAAACCTGCTACAAAGCCACTTCTGTGCTGTTTTTAATGAAATGTCTGTACTTAACAGGAACACCAGGAATTCCAGGTCCAAAAGGTATCGAAGGGCCTCCAGGTAACCCTGGTCTGCCTGGACCACCTGGGCCAGTAGGTGAGCATGAACAGTGTGACAAATGTCACCTGCCTCTGTGAAAAGCATAACATGTGAAGGCATTTTCTTTCTTCATCATGAAAATGCATCTATGCATACATGGATGCTCAAATGCCATTGCACACATGTCACTGGAATGAAGTAGAAAAGAAAGTTTTAACTTTTCACATCTTTTGTCTGCTGTTTTAATCATACCACCAGCCTTAAAACATGCAGTTAACTGTCAGTATTTACTAGCTTTACTTGTGTATTCCAAGCTGAACATTGTTTTATAGGGAAAAAAAAAATCTTATTTATGCTGAAGAGAAATCTTAGTTTTAGTCAACAATTTACATAGTTATGGGCATAAAAGCTTTTTCTGAATTGTCAAGGGCAATGGGAAGGGAGAAAGTGAGAGGAAGTAGAGAGGTTTTAATTTAAAGATTACACCCTTGTAAATTTATACTACACTCATACCTTCAGATTCAACTGGGGGCAGGGCACATTTATGTATCTGTTTGCTTTATTTTTATTTTATTGTAGGCTGCGTTTCACTGTGCTCAAGTGTTCTATGCTCTTTTTAGGTGATACTGGTCGTCCTGGCCCTCCTGGTCCTCCTGGGGAGAAGGGACAGCCTGGTCGAGATGGTATCCCTGGACCAGCTGGTCAGAAGGGTGAACCAGGTTAGGTGTCCTCTGGTGTTGTATTTTTTTGTTGTTGTCTTCAGTATGTGTTGTGACATCCTGCTTTTTCTATTCCTTTCTTTTCCTTTAACTATCCATATACCTTGTAACTGTTTCTGTAGTTTCCATCTGCTGAATGGTTCACAAAGGATGCTGTCAAGACTTCTGTGAAGCACAGGACTAGAATTCAGTCAGCTCTCAGAGTTTTATACCCTGACATGGTTCAGCACAGGCCCCTATTCTTGCAGTCAATGGTGCATGTATTGCTTCAGCTCAGACAGAGAGTGGATAAATGGCATAATGTCTTCCCTAAACACAGAACCCCAACAAGAAATACAGATGTTCTATAAGCCAAAATCTGGAAGAGCACATTGTGAGTGGGTGGAAATACTTATAAATAGTCATAATATTATGAGAGTCACAGACACATTTTGTAACAAAACCTCCAGCTTTGTTGTGGACTCTGCGTGTGAAGAAGGAAATTGAGTTTTAGATGAACTGCACTTTCATCATTCTCAGCCTTGTATTCCTCTTCCCAGAGACTTGAAAGCTAAATGTTCATTATGAACTCGATCTATTTCTTTTCAGGTCTGCCAGGCTTTGGGCGCCCAGGACCTCCGGGACTCCCAGGATTATCAGGTAGAGTTTCTCAGCTGGTTTTTTTTGGTGGGTTTGTTTTTGTTTTGTTTTGTTTTTGCTGTTAAAACGTTGAATGGAAACTCCCTGTATAAAAAAAAAAAAACAGTAGAAACAAAAAAACAAATCCCAACATTACATCTTCTGCAACTAATGAATATAGAAAAAAGCAGTGTTTTTTTCACAGCAGATCATTTTAAGTTAGCCAAGGTAATAAAGACACTCATTACTGACTACTGAATATTGTAAATTAAGAATTATGCAGGCAAAATAAAACCACACAGGGTAATTGAGTCTACTGCACTCTGTGGAACTTTGCTGATCTGTCTCAGTAAATAAAGCATTCCTACACCAGTTGACAAGCAAAGCTGCTTCGAAAATGCTTGCTACGTTTTCAAAAGCAACTTCACAACCTCAGTTGTATTATGTTCCAATAGCATTCCTAAATTCCTTAAACTTACTGGAAAATTTTGGATGTATGTCTTAACTTTCAGCAGTGTCTCAAAAAAATACTGAAGTCTTAATAATTTTCACAGGATTTCTTTGTGAGTGTATAAAGCTTGTGAAAGCATTGCTTATAGGTTCATAAGCTCTGAGGATGGTTATAAATTACAGAGTCAGTAAGTAGTAAAATGAAACTTAGTAAGATTTTGTAACGTTTCAGAAGCTATAGCACTTACTCCTGCTAAAATTATTAGCCCTAATTCTTTTCTGAACTTGTTGCAACAATTTTGTATTTTCTCAGTGTACAAACAAGGTAAGATGTGGTCAGACTTGCACCTTCTTAATCAAGAGAAGAAGAAGTACCTTTGCAAATTCACAATGGGAATTTTTCCATATATCAGCGTATAACAGTGTTTGTAAATATGGCTGTTTGCTTTTACAGGGCAAAAAGGTGAACTGGGGTTACCTGGCCCACCAGGACCCCCTGGACTTCCAGGTCTGAAGGGAGAACCAGGTTTCCAAGGATTCCCTGGCCTACAGGGTCCACCAGGTCCACCAGGATTACCAGGGCCACCTCTGGAAGGTCCTAAAGGTAGCCCTGGCCCACCAGGCGTTCCAGGAAGACCAGGTAAGGGCATGATCCATATCCATCAAGATTTACCAGTGCTTTTGTTTTTTTGCTGAAAGGTTATCAGTTTTTGTACTTCCTCAATTCATTTGGGTGGAAAAGTTCAAGACCCATGGAATAAGTCTTGTTTGTGGGCCATCAGAGAATTTTGTTGCCAAAAGTAACGGGATTTAAGAATAAAACATCCTCAGTTTCTGTTAATTTCTGATACCTGTCAGCAAAAATCCGGTGTTTTAATAAACGTGAAATTCTCTGCATGCTGTCACAGAAATCACCTAGCGAGCACGATGCCGACTTCTGAGCACCTGATCCCTTTTGCAGTACTGTCACTTGATCAGCACGTCCTCGCGCACAAAAACCAAACATAACAAACCCCATTGTCTTAAGAGCCATGAAAATCAAGTTCATGTTAGCATCACAGCATGATCAAATTGGATAGCTGCCTCTTCACCTTCATGTCACGTAACATTGCTCCATTGTGTCATGTGGCTCCCATGGATTCAGTGCACCATCATGCCGTGTTCATCTTTCCATCCCATGTTTGCACTTTGTTCCTGCACCAACTAACTCTGGGAATGAAAACCTACCGTGCTGAGTTAACATTGCTGAGCAACTTCCTGGCTTGTTTTAGAATTTGATTTTTTGTCATAGAGTGCTTAATCACATTAAGATACACTCTTAAAATACATAATTGTGGTGAGTCTGGCACAGCTCTCACCCAGGCTTATTGCTATATCTTAAATCTAGAGGTACTTTGGCACAAGTGAGACTCATCTCACTTAATGTGCTTGATATTCTCCTTAAAGGAGACAGTACTTTCACACCCAGCTAATGGTTGACTACATATACATAAAGCAGCAATATTTTTATTTATTGCCCTCAAACTCTCACATCAGATCTTTCTGTTGTTCTAATGTTTGTTTGGGAAGGTCAGTTTTGAGCTAGTGTATTTATAAGATAGCATGTGTTTCTCACTTTAGATATCAAAGGAGAATATAGTTTTGAAGTAAATGTTTGGAAAGAATTTAACATTCTTTAAAAAGAATAATTAAAAAGTGGCTAAGCATCTCCTGATGTGTGTGTAATACAAACACTGACTGAGATTCTGTGCTCTGCTGGAGCATTGGTGTTTTGATGAAGCTTCTAATGCTGGTTACACTTCTCTGTAATTGAGTGGTTACTGATTGAAATCAGCTGGGGAAGTGAGAGTAGTGCTGGGACGTGTTTTGTGCAGCTTTATGAGCTTCAAGGGGAAAAAACAACCACTGAAGTTCTGCTCAGCTGTGTTTCTCTTTCTTCTCTTTCTTATTTCTGTTTTTGTTGCATGCAATGTATAAAGTGATGCATTTGTTTCGCTCAGTTATGTGTGAACTAATGTGGACAAACCAAACTATTATTGCAGTTCTGGTACAATCAGCACTCCAACCTTTTGTTTCAAATGATAACAGTCTATTGTTGAACTCTGATTTTTATAACCTTTCAAATAAGGCAGCTAGTCATAAAAGCAGCTGTTTGGCTGTCAAATTACTCCCTTCTAGGGATGTAAATAAAAACAGAAGCTGTATGTATATATTGTCTGTTGTTGACTTCTGGGTTTGTGCTAGGATTGGTAAAAGTGATGAGGTCAGACATGATGAAACACTGACTTCAGCTGAATTGCCTCAAAACCGAATTTGGATGGATGATGTTGGGAGGATGTATTCATCGAGGATAAAATAAAGCCAGGGCAACGTGAAAGTGCTGTTACTCCATATGTCAATTTTTCATTGCAACGAATGAAATAATAGTTTGGTGTGTTGCATACTGTGTGAAGAAATATTGAGCTAAATCTAAAGAGAAAGGTTTAGTTGAATATGTTAGTTTGTTGATATTTCTAACAATTTTGATGTTTTTCCCCTTGTTCTAATGATGACCTTGGTGAACTCTGACCCCTACTCCCAGGTCCCTCAGGTTAGCCCCTTAACTCCAAAATTGTAACTTTGCATGAAGATGAAAGTATGTACTTTTTTGGTGTCTGAATGTAGATATGCGGAGTCATTTTTCACACATACCTTTTAATTTGAGGGAGGAAAGAACTTAGGCTTCCAAAGCCTAGGGTTTCATGTTGTTGTAGGGCTGACTGACCCTGGAAGGACTGCTTTCCCTCTGCTGAAAGTTCATGTGGGTCCAGACTTACAAGGCTTTAATAGTGTCCCAACTATGAAATTTACTTTAGTGTGCTTATTCCCAGAGGAGGTGAAAAAAATATATGCTACTTTTCCTCTTCATATTAAAACAAACAAACCAAAAACCAGCATATTTTGCTGTCCTCCCCTACCTTTGCTGCATAATTGTTTTGTAGCTTGGACAAATGGCAGCATTCATTTCTGTAACACCTGCTGATGATTTTTGGATGCTCTGATGTGATTTTCGTAAGATGTTTCTTTTATACCACGAGCCTCCATAGGAGCACATGCAGTTACACAGGAAATATAAATGTTTTATGTTCCCAGCATAGTTTCCATAGTTTCCATTTCCATTGCTTCGTTTCATCAGCACGTGTTTGGAGGAAAGGAGGAAAACTCTTCCTTTAAACTGAACTGAAGCACACTGGCTTATCTTTCTTACCACTAGAGAGGAGGAGCAGGACTGGTAACTTTCACAAGCTTTTCTCAACTCTAACGATCAGCACGTAGCACAGGACAGCTTCTGGGGAGACTTCACCTGTTGTGCCTAGATTGAAAATGACTTGGTATATCTACTTAATAATAATGCAGCCTTTAAGTTTTGCTATGATGACTTCTATGAAGCAAAGAACTGTCATCAAAATTCAAGAAGAGAAGTCTTTAGTGCGCTGTGCTAAGCACTGTGGGGGTAGCAAATGTGGTAGCCCCCAGTGCTTGAAAACTGAAATATATATCTAGCCTTATGCAGTCATTGGAAATAAAGAATACAATATCTGAATGTGGCTTTGCCTTTTCACTAAAACGTGGTTACACAAACAGTAACCACAGAGTCAAAGGGAATTAGCATCATGGCTATGCTGAGAGGAACTTACCAATTCCTTCGTATTTTGTTCCACCCTGCCACTGCCCAGAAAGCATTCAATAATCAACAAATAAAAGAAAGATTTAGAAATCATAGCAAAACTTACTTAATAGTGAAAGTTTGAGTACTTAACAGCAACAATGAAATGTCCATGTCGTTATTTTTAACAGCTGTATTACAACTAGTATTTAAAATGATTTACCAAATATGTAAGAAATAGTACACCAAGGTAAACCTGATATGTATTTATTGTAGTTTTTAGCTGCAAATTGCATGGTTATACATAGATATACTTAAATCATTTCACTGACATGAAAGATGCAAGCGGCACAGGAGCTGCAATGCATATTAATTCAGGAGGAAGACCAGCTTACCTTTAAAAAAAAAAGAAAAGGACATTGAAGTGATTTTCCTAAGGATGTCATTTTCCTTAATAACTTCTAACAGGCAAATTAGTATCTGGGGATACATTTATTAAGAAAAATCAGTGCTAACAAATTCTGATTTTCTAAGATTTTGCTTTTTGCTTTTGTATTTTTGCTTATAGCACTTCCAACCCTTTTAATCCATGTCAGTTCTGGTTACTATTCTGGGCTACTTTTCAGCCCTAGGATTTTGCTCACAGATAACGTAAGCTGTCATTCTCTGCGTACCTCTGTATTTGCCAAGCTCCAGGCCCTGTGAGTGATGAATATTGTCAGTGAAATGCCTTCATAGTGTAAACTGCATTGTGAGTAGGACTAACCAGGCGCAGGCCTCAGCTGTAGTGTTAAAGCAGTAACACATTTAGTAAAGCTTTAAAGTTTGTCATTAAATGAAGAGTGTCAAATCAGTCCTAGTAGAGCCAAGTCACCAGAATAGCTTGTATCTGAAAATACATATCGTGAACTCATGTATGGTCTTATGCATGCATGTGGATTATATTCTAAATACAAAATATGCTGGTGAAATGGGTTGATGTGTAGAGTATATGCTGTCATCTGTACTATTTCTAACTAGTAATCTTGTTTTGTACTGTGTGATGTCTGACCCTTCTAACATCGATCATTGGGCTTTGGTGAACTCTGATCCTTCCAGGTCCTCCAGGTTAGACTCTTAACTCAGTCACTTTATTTTACTGCACTGCATTTGATGTAAAAGAAGGGGTGTTTTCCTGTGATTCTGTAATTATCTTTTTAAGGACGGTGGTTACCCTGCAAGTTGTGTGCTTTTGTTCAGCATGTCTCATGGTAGATGGTAGCCTGTTGTTTTGCATGTGTACAATACTGTACCAGTGAAAAAGAACAAAATGAACACAAAAGCCTCTTGATGTTTTCTGTAGCTGAAACTGCAATGGGATGTGTGTGAAATACAGTCCAAAACTGCTCCTACTTTAAAAATTTGAAGTCTTCACTCAGATTTGCATGCCGTGTTACAGCTTATCAAGTTTATCTGCTAATATAGACAATGAGGATTTCAAAGGGCATTCTCAGAGGATTCAGGAGAATTGAAAATCCAGCACACTGCTACGTGTTATTAATTTGTTGCACCACAGGGGAGAATGTCATAGCACTGTCCTGCAAAGAGATCCTGTTGTTAATCCAATTAGGAGATCTAACATGTGAACTGCTTTTAGCTGTTGCTGTGTTTGCTTACAGTTTGCTTTGCTATAAGTTGCCTTCTATTTAGATGATAAAGGTGCACGGTCTGATTTTCCAGTGCTCAGAACAGCTGGGCTTCGTTTAAACCCACTGTTCTCTTTTGGTTTAATGTGGCTGTTGCAAAGAAAATATTTAAAGATTGGCTCAGTTCCTCTGTTAAATTTACATAGCATAATTCTACTAAAGACAGACAAACCAGCTGGAGGGTCACTGAATATAAAGTGCCTGCAACTCTAACTAGTATTTAGAGAAGACAGAACGAGGGGCTTCCTCTTGCTGAGCAGTCATTAAACGGAAGATACCAGGCTCCTCTGTAGGTATTGGAAACAGCAAAAAAGCAGCAATATTTTTGTGTTAGTGTCTGTTAACATAGCACTTAAGAGATGGTGAGTGCAAATGCAGGACAGCAGAGGGTATATTTGTACCATCTAATTTGGGTTTTCTTGGCTCCTGCTGGAAGGTCGCTGTCTGGTCACTGGTAAGTTCCTATCACAGGTGGTTTGCACTGCTGCCTAGAAAGACCTGCTTCTCTTCATCAGCTGGATGAGGAGCCTTGGTTCCTGATTTGGGTAGTACAAATAACCCCTCTTTGTTTTCTCTTTAGTTAGGGTGTTTTATTTTGTTGTTACACTGAAGGCACGGTCTTGTGGGGAACAGTTGACATGTACTGATACGTTTGTATTTGTTCCACAATGTTAAGGTTCACCAGGCCCAGAAGGTCCACGAGGGCCACCAGGCAGTGGGGGACTCAAAGGGGAAAAAGGGAATCCAGGACAGCCTGGCCCACCTGGCCTGACTGGTCAAAAGGGAGACCAAGGACCACCTGGACGCCAGGTAGGACAAGAATTGGGTTTATTTTTAAATGCAATAAAGACTAAACTTGTTTAGGTTAAATATGCCTTTTATTGTAGTAAAATAAAAACCAAAATACAGTGGTTATTATAATGTCTCATAGCAAGATTGAGGGTGTTTTCTTTATCCCCCAGTACCCAGGCAGGTTTTCCCTATTACATTGCCATGGGAGCTGGAATTGCCAATGAAGGGTTCACATTCCAATGTTCTCTGACAGCACCTGCTGTACCAGGCAGTGAGCAAGCAGAACACAAAGCCTCAGCCTTCTCAAGCACTACTTCACAGATTCCAAATGTACTAATTTGTCATCTAGCCCGTTTTTATCTTCTTTTCTGAAACCACTGGGGAGATGAGTGACTAACATGAATCTGTTGTCTTCAGGGAGATCCTGGTCGTCCTGGTCTCAATGGAATGAAGGGTGACCCTGGGGTTCCAGGCGTTCCGGGATTCCCAGGTATTTAATGAGCATTTCAAGTGAAAACTTCCAGACACAGTAGCAGCTCCTCAGGGAGGAAAGAAGCCTGATTTGGGCCACTGCAGCAGATCTTACAAAACGTGTTCTTTCATTGCGTGACTGTGTTAATTTGATCTTTCAGGTATGAAGGGTCCCACTGGACCTGCAGGACCTGCTGGCCTCATGGGCAGTCAAGGGCTGCCAGGCCCACCAGGTAGGAGTCTTGGGTAGCACTACTGTCACTTTGATCCCTGGTGGTAGAATGTGTTATGCAGCTGTAGAACTGTGTGGATGTCAGCCAGAAATGGAAGTGGTTAAGAGAGCATCTGTACTCCTGCTGTATTTTATACTCTATATAACCAGTCTACTTGGATTAACTTCTGCAAGAGCTGTCCTTCAAGATGTCACCAAGAGCACTTGTTTTGCCCTTTATATACACCTACTCTAATTCTTTGTAGTTATAAAAACTTTCGGTTGCTGACTTTGCAATAAGTAACAGAAATAGTGCACTGCCAAAACTTTCTTCAGTGCTCTCTTCCATCCTGGTTTATCTAATACTGAGCTGTTTTCTCTCAGGTCCACCAGGTTTACCAGGTACCATCGGACGAAGCATTGTTGTCAAAGGTGATCCTGGTCCTCCAGGGCCTCCAGGATTGCCTGGGTCAAAAGGGCCACCTGGACTGGCAGGGCCACAAGGATTGCCAGGTATGATTCTAGATTGTTGCATGGAAAATGACTAAGTATGGCTGACTGCATGTTGCAACGTGGGACTGAATTCAGCAAGAAATAAAAACGTGGGATTGTACCCAGATGTATACCATCTGGTTTAGTGACTTGTTCTTGCCTAATGTATTGTGGAGAAACATCAGATGACCCCAGAGAGTGTATACCATTCTGTAGTGAGGTTTCAAGAGCTTTCAGTTCAATTACCTGCTTGTCTGTTCTAGGTCCAGTTGGTGTTCCTGGTGATCCAGGGCGAGATGGACTCCCTGGTTTCGATGGCCCAGCAGGACGTAAAGGAGAGAGGGGTCTTCCAGGCCAACCAGGTACAGTGTTCATCCCATGAGCACCCACTGGAAAAGGAGATTCTCCCTACTGAGTTCCAGCTAACAGTGGGAAGAGACATTTGCCTTGCGAGAATAATAAAATCATAATTTTAGGATTTTCTTAGGACTGCTGCACACGCTTTAGTTTGGAATATTCTAGGGATCAGCACAATTATTAGTCATTGCTGAATAATACTGTAGAACATTTTATCTCGAGATGAATGGCATCCCCTTTGGAGCAATGATGAGGCACAACAAGAAGGAAAGAAAGTAAGAAACAGAATTGAGAGATTAGTGAAATGATTTCCTCTTTACATGAAGAATCACAAATGAGGGAAAGCAGACTTCATAAAGGAAATAATATGCAGAGGTCAAGCTACCATGAAGTTACTGCTTAGAATTACTGATCTGAGAAAACAGACCACACACTAAACAGTTTAATCTAAAGCAGAAGACAAACATTAGCTTTATGTTGCAGCCTTGTGAGTAAAAACTACTAGAATTCAGTTTAAAAACAGTACAAAAATCCACAGTGCCATTTTTGTTTTTCATTTAAGTAGCCTTGTGAAATCTGTTGGTGTTATTTTAAGTGAAAAAAAAAAATGTAAACAGTAGTCTAAATATTTGTAGTTATACTTTCTGATATTTTGCTGTTCGATAACAAATGCCTTTTCTGCTACTTCTCTCAGAGTAATATCACTTTCCTTGCTCTCATGCAAGGATGTTTCAGCCTATTTGCACTTTGTCATCTACTCCAAAACTGACTGGTTTCTCTATTCATTTTGGGTTTTAGCTGAAGTTGTTAGAACAAGCCCTAGAGTGAGATGTTCTTCTGTTCCTGGCTCTGTCATTTATGTTGTGATCTTGAACAAGATGTTTCAGCTTTATCTTACCAAACTGCATAGGCAGATAAGTATGTTTTGGGATTAGGAAGCTGATTTGTACTTAAAATAGCTGTGATAGCCACTGCATTTGCTAAGCTATTGCTTCACAGCTCCAAACGTATTTAAATTCAGAATACTCCTATGATGCAGGGAAATTGCACTATTTTAATTTGTTCATGATTTGACCAAGCTTAGAAGAAAAAAATAGTTTAAGGTAATTTAAGGAAGATGGTGTTAGCAGATTTCAGGCTTCTCAGCTAGCAAGCTCCTCACTCACTACACCATCCTCCCTTTCAGAGATACGTTATTCCTAAACGAGCAAGAAATTGTGTGAATAAATACTGTGTTGTTTCCTCTCATGTGAATAGGTTCACGAGGAATACAGGGACCCCCTGGTCCTGATGGCTTACAAGGCCCACCTGGGCCTCCTGGAACAGCTTCTGTTGCTCATGGATTCCTTATAACTCGTCACAGCCAGACTAGGGATACACCACTATGTCCACAAGGAACTTCAAGAATATATGATGGATTCTCTCTTTTGTATGTGCAAGGAAATGAGAGAGCACATGGCCAGGACTTGGGTGAGATATTTTGTATGCTTTGTCTTTAAGGGAAAAGATGTTGTGCATACTTCTACCAGATGCTCAGTTTTAATGAAGATAAGACTATCCTGGAGTTTACCTAGATGAGGATGAGGGATGCATGCTAAGATCTACTACATCCAGAAGCTGCACTTAGTAACTCAAGATGAAAGACTGTAAACCAAAATTGAGAGTTAAGTTTTTCCCTCATGTGAAAATTTGATAACATGCTGAATACTCACAATTATCCTTCTCAAAAAGCTGCTACAAACAATGAAGTGAGAACTCGGCTGTCACATTTTGTGTATCTCATTCTGTAGGTACTGCTGGGAGCTGTCTTAGGCGCTTTAGCACCATGCCTTTCATGTTCTGCAACATCAACAACGTTTGTAATTTTGCATCAAGGAACGACTATTCCTACTGGCTGTCAACTCCAGAGCCAATGCCGATGAGCATGGAGCCACTGACTGGGCAGAACATCCAGCCATTCATTAGCAGGTGAGACAAAGAAGGCCGTCAAGTCTTTTTTTAGTATCTGGATGAAGAAACGGTACATCTCACTACATACAGTCCAACATGTAGGTTGGAAATAAGACTGACCTTGTCATGTTTTGCTCTGGGAAATACAAGGAAAAGAGCTGGTTTTAAAGTTTCTATTGTCTGAAAAGGCCCATCTATAAGTGCAGCAGAAATCCTTAGAGGCTGAAAGGCTGTAAGGGCTTTTCTCACCTGAGAAGCATGAGTGCAGGGTTACTGTGAATAGGAAAAAACAGAGGAGCCTGTAGTGCTGGGATTAAGGCATTCACCTGGGGGACTTGGAGCTTCCACTTCTTGTTTCAGGAACTGTATTTTACCCAGTGGTTGTTAGTAGAAAAGGGCAGAGTTTGTACTCAGAACGCTGTCCTACTGCACTCACAAGATACACGAGAAGTCTAAATTAATAGGACAGACCCTCACAAGCAAGGACTCCCTTTCTCTGTGTAATAACCCTTAACAAGTGACATTAAGTTGTATGTTTTATTTCTCTGATACTTCCCCTGAGTCCAGATGCGTTGTGTGTGAAGCTCCTGCTATGGTGATAGCTGTCCACAGTCAGACCATTCAGATTCCTTCGTGTCCTCCAGGCTGGGACTCCCTATGGATCGGTTACTCTTTCATGATGGTAAGAACTTCCTCCTATTCCAGAAGTGACTATTACCTGTTTGTGCCCTCAAGTAGCTGCTTTAACACTGTTAAAAACTACAGTGGTAGTCATTAGAAAGCCTTTATCTTAAGTTAATAACCATGGCAGTCAAGATGAACAGCAATTTTCCAGTACATAGAGAGAATGGTACCACTCTGCAAATCCTGCCTTTCTAAGGATAGTTACAGAGGTGTCTGACATCACATTATCTCAATATTAGCCAAACAGTGCTGCTTTTAGCAATTGCATCCTGTGCTATTAATTTCTATTTCCTACTCTAAGTTTTTTGTGTGTGTTTCTTTCCTGCCCACTACCCCAGCACACCAGTGCTGGAGCAGAGGGCTCTGGGCAGGCCTTGGCATCACCTGGATCCTGTTTAGAAGAATTCCGCTCAGCTCCATTTATTGAGTGTCATGGTCGTGGCACTTGTAACTACTATGCCAATTCATACAGTTTCTGGCTGGCGACTGTAGAGGTGTCAGAAATGTTCAGGTAAGAAAACCTGTTTTTATTACATTGTTTTATTCCAGGGTGAAATATTTGGAAGCCAAATTTATTCCCAAGATCAAAAGAGAAGTCTTTACAGGGAAGTAGGGAAGAGTTTAGTTTGTTTTCCCCCTCACAACCAGTTTTTCAAGTGTGTGCTTGGGTAAGCCTTTTATAAGATGTATAAACTTGTGAGGGCACATTCTGTTTTGCAAGAAGTCAGATTCCTTTTACATCAACTCTTATTCACGTTTAGTAGTACTTTCTCTGAATGTTGTCCTATTGTACTGACTGTAGTTGGAGTTTTAAAAGGTTTGTTTGTTTTTTTTTTCCTTGCATGCTCTTAATTACTCAAATATTTTAAAAGGCGAACAGGTGTGAGGGGAAACTGGACAAAATCTGCATTGTCTCATTCTCAGCCCTAGTGCAGGGTCAACTGTACTTAAACCTTTTAAAGCAGGTGTTCATATAATCTGTTTTTAAAGCCTGGTGTGAAGGAGGTTTCATACCCTCTCTGGCGAGCATTTTTACCAGTACTCTGCAGGAGGATTAGGACACTAGCTTCTCTGCCTTAAGGATTTCAGCTCTCCAGGGTTCCCCCTTTCTAATTGACCGGCAGAAACAAATGCTGTCGCCCTGTTTTTGCACTGGTGAAAACTTCATGAATATTCCCACTGCCACCAACCTGAAAAATTTGGCCTTGTTGTACAGGGCTGGCAGTGTGCAGTGTGACATAGCAGCAATAGCCTCTAATTGGGTTTTGTGTAACAACTACACTGTCATATTTAATTGCACGCGAAGTAATCATCTCCATGTTTTCAGGGTAATTGATTAGTGATAATTCATACTAACTACTGCGGGTCTTTGAACTTTTTCTCTCTACCATTTGCCATCTCCCACAAACACAACTTACTTTATTTTAAAAAAAAAATCAAGGATAGCACTTAACATGCGAACACACATTACACAGAAATGTTGTATTACCACCTCTCATTTCATTTCCTTGCAGAATAGAAGCAAACTATTTGGTAAACGCATAATTTAAATGTACAGATCTCCCTTTAACACTGTTTCTGATGGATTGTTGTAATACCTTTTAACTGAGAAACCAAAAATCACAAGTGCCTGTTTCATGGCAGGGGGAATGTACGCTGTGGACCCAAGACTGTCCATGATGTACATGTATATCATTCAGTCCCGTATATGATGTAGCACAAACAGTAAGCTGAGCAGAAGCAGGGGCTGAGCATACATTTTGCTTAGTGGGGACTGGACAAAACTGAAGTTCTGTTACCTGCTGTGGATATACAAAACAATCACTCATAGTAGAAACTCTGAAATACAGGATTAATTCCTCTTTCTGTTTTACTTCCAAATCTGGAATTAAGCAGAAGTCGTAAGTTACAGTTCTGTGAACAAAGAAGCTAACCCTAGCCTTCCTGTTTTGTCTGTCAACCAGCAAACCTCAGTCAGAGACACTGAAAGCTGGAGACTTGAGGACGCGTATTAGTCGCTGCCAAGTTTGCATGAAGAAGACGTAACGTCTTGAAGGATGTTTTAAAACAGTTGAAAATTCCTGAGATGCACTGTCCTCCAGCTGTAACAATGGTGCTACTGTGCAGAAAGAAAGCAGAAAACAAATCCAAACTGTTTTAACCATGCAAATTCAAGTGTACCTCACTCGTGCCAAGCTAAGGGTTGTTTGGTGCATATTTGACAACAGGACTAAGATGAGATGGAAGAATTGACCTCCTGGAAATGGTAAAGACCCTTGTGGTTCACAAAGGATCCGAAGATGAAATTTTCATTTCTCTCCCTGTACCAAAATGGCACCTTTTTGATCAGTCAAGAGAGTAAAGAAAAACACGACGCACTGAGTATGTTTAAAGTAACAAGACTGCAGTTTTGAAAAACATTTTTCATGGTGCTACTAACCCTACTGTATCCCAGGTTTTTAATATGGAATTTTAAGTTTATTTCTCTGTAAGTAATGAAATGTGTATATTGTGTAAAACACCTTTTTAGCTGAAACTTTCAGTCATTTAGAAACAAACCAGACTCGGATATAAAAATGCTTATGTCTGAAATTAAAATATACAGCAGTATTTTATCACAAAATTTGCGGTACAGAGAGAATTTACAACTCTTACACCAATTCATTCATTTGATATTTCATTTCCTTAGTTGCCAACCTGTCATAGATGGGGAAATGCACAATTATTCTGAAGTCATTTTGATCAGGGTTTTAAATGTTGATACCATATATCATGCTACCAGTGGTTTTATTTGTGTTTAGAGATCCCAATCCACTTGAAGAGTTTGTTGGTTTATTTTTTATCTTGTGAAGATATATGAAATGATCAGCCATATGCCTATATCCTTCTATTCTGAATAGAAGTCACATTCACATATTAGTAATATTTGGTATAGTTCAAAAAAGCTGCTCCTTGGGAATATCCAGTTATCAAAGCATTTAAGATTATGCTTACGTGAAACCTCTTTACTCTGAAGTGAAGTCACACATATTATCCAAAATAAATAGTGTACATGCTAAGAAACACTAAAATAAAGTGTAAACTGGTGGAAACTGAGCTTATCCTATTTACCATTTAATCTTTGTGATCTTATGTGAATTTATAAGCATCCACAATGTATTTACAATATATAGCAACTCCTGTGTATGTACATTCACATAAGGCCTTTAAAGATGGTGCATGCAGTTCCTTCTTTCTAATGTCATTTTGTGAGAATCCTACTGTGTGTGTCTTGGTGTGTCACTGTGCAATAGCTGAAAAGTGATCACTTTCTGTATGCATAACTGCCCACGATTGTTCTGCGTTTATGGTCAGTGCTGCTCCACTCACACTCGTGCACACAGAGCTCCCTGGCCAAAGCAAGGCTGTTTTTCAGAACGATGATACTTTAACACTTTCATTGTATATTGTCACCTCCACTATCTATCAATACAACATAACTTGTGAATCAACATAGAGCTTTATACAGGTGAAGTGTATTTGTTTATTTTGACCACTGTTAATAATTTATCTGCTAATTGCTGTTCACCCTTTCCTTTCAGTTGTCCTTGTAACTGTGGAACATCAGAGACCTTGTTTTAAGCATATTTGACAAAGACATAGGACTGGTGGTTAACCCAGGTGGCAGTGCTTTATTCAATGAGATTGGTGCTGATTTCAAAAGTTTTCAGGTATGAAATAGGTTATTTAGCTTAAAGTGAAAAACACAAATAACTTTATCCTTTTTCCATTAGTGCAATTATATGTTGGTAGAGAGTGGCCTATTCAGCAATGTACATCCTTCAACCCATTTTATTTTGATTTGCTGATGCATATAAACAGAACCTGCTGCTACCTCCAAGTCAGTAACTTGTTACCAAAGCTAAAATAAAAACTTATGTCTCTTTTACTGTAAGCCCATATCTTGCTACATGCTCCTCCCTCAGCAGCCTAAAATGAACACAGGAGCTTATTCCTAGCCCCAGAAAGCAGAATAGAGGCTACAGTCAAGGAGCACCCAGGGTAAAGAGCTCATCCAGCCCTCACTTGGGTCTGTACCAACTCCACTTGTCTTGCCTCCCTGTCACCAAGAAATTGTGTTGATTATGGGGATCCAGGAAAGGGCAGAACGTGTTTGTTTTTAGTACTGCATCAGTGGTGCTTTTTCTAAGATTGGGCCTCTTTTGCAGCATGCACAGCAAAACTCACTGAACAGTGACAAGACAGGAGTTATAATTCCAGTCTAACATAGATAGCACGCAGAGCAGCTTGTTTTGTGGCAGCAAAGTAGTTCCCAAACCTGTGGAATGACCACAAAAAAGCAGAAATGCTTCTGACAGGTACGTTCTCATTAACTTTGTTTTGGCTTTTTTTCTTGGTTAAAAGTAGGATAGAGAGGAAGGAGCATCTTTTAACTGAGACACACAGTAGAGATTAAAATGATACTGCACCTTAGAGCAGGCAAACCACTTGACCTGTATTAGATCTGAGTTTCTCTTCTATAAAAGCAAGCACCGTTATTATTTTCTCCCACTTCCTGACTGCTTAGACTGTAAGCTCTTTGGGGCAGAGACATGTCTGTGCAACACTGGGGGGGCGTCAAATGTTGATTGGGGCCTCTAGGTGCTATCCATCAGTATATAATATTAAACTACAGGAAAAACCTTGTCTGCAGATGTATTATTATTATTGTAAGTGGAAAAAACAACCCTGTTTTGAACATGTACCATTTTCAGCCTAAGCATGATCTGGATCAGCCTCTCCTACACTCAGGCTTTTTTTTCCTAGGGTTTGATTTGTTTTTAACTGAAGTTTTAATTTCCCTGGCTAATTATGTTAGTCTTAAGCAGGAACCTGGAAATAGCACAGCTGCATTTATAAGCTGTATGGGGGAAAAGACGAGCACTGTAGCCACTCGAGGGCACCATACAGCTTTGAAAGAAAGCTCAAGCAGAAAGAGGACCAAATTCCTGGAAGTGCCTGCATCAGCAAGGACTTACATTAAAGTTTGCTGGAAGGGGGATTGCATCAACCCTCACTGCCCAGTTTTTTGAATGCTTCTTGCAGCATGGAAATCAAGAACAGGTGCTGTCAGTTGTTAGTTAAAAAAGGCAAATCTTCCAAATGAATACTAGTTTGCAAATCTTAAAAACAGTAATCTTCCACATAACTTGCATTTATACTGGTCCTTCCTCTAGTAGTGAAAAATGAAATAGTGCTTAACACCACAGGTTATTCAGTAGCTTCCTTTGCTCTCTAGTAATACCTTTTACACTCCAGGACTGAAAGGGAACTGCTTCCTGCAGCCTCAAGTTCACATGTAATACGGGATTTAAATTTCTGAAATGGTTCTCCAGTCACAGTACAACCTATAAACAAAAGGTGGGCACACAGAAAAGCATAAAACATTTGAAATACAGTGAACTAGACTACTGCATGTAAATGTTGAGCTTTAAAAGCTTTTAAGCATGCAGTATCTTTTCCTGGGCCATAGAGGTCAGTCCCCCAACAGCTATGGATTTCTCACCTCAAAGGACAGAGGAAGGACCGGTTTTATAAACTTTACAACCTGAAAGTGACTTAGTGATCTTGCAAGCAACCAAAGCCCAAGTTCCAAAGTATTATTTTGCCATCTAGATTCTGTGCATTGTAGTGTACACTTTGTGTATTTTGGGGACTTTGCTAATGGTACAGAAGTGCCACTGTAGGGGCAGCAGGGGAGTTGTTTTCCAAGCGTGAGGAGTATTCTGCTATGTAGACATTTGTAACTGCTGCTTCTCAGAGAAGTCACCCTTTAGACAGTTCAGCGGTGTGGTCAGACACAGGATGTTTCTGCTGCTGTGGCTACTTCCACTGGGCTTTGTGCAAGACACAGCAATAACTTCCTCCTCCCAGGAGGCTATTGACAAAAAGCAGGACACGTGCCAGCACCAGGCAGGAGCAGTAATTAGCTCGGGGAGCAGTAGCAGTGTGCTACATTTTAAAGCACAGGATAAGTATCTTGACTTTGCTTTAGAAGGAAAGATTATTAGCTCAACCCATCTGCAGCAGACTGGTGACCAATGCCTAACAGCCCCAACTGGCAATCAAGTCAGGAGTAACTGGTTATTACAGCAACAAACTGCTGGCTCCACTGGAGGTGCTCGCTACAGCTGAGGGGTGGAGTGCACAACAGCAGCTGCTGCTCCAGTGCCAGCAAGTAGCTTGTGTGCCCACTGAGCTCAACTTTCCTGATCAGTCTCCTGTAACTTGAAACTCTTCTTTAAAAGGAAATAAAAATAATCTTAATTTAATTGAAAATCAATTAACTCTGAGTCAGAAAGAAAAGCGAAGAAACAAAGCAACTGCCTTATTTTGGTGTGTTCCTCTAACAAAAGAGGGGGGAAAATGTTCTTACCTCCCATGCATACACAGCAACCTCAGTGCTCCCCTCCGTAGCGTTCCTTCATGACCCTTTGAGAAAAAAAATCAGAGAAACTGTAATGTAAACTAAAATGTAAGTTTGAGGGAATGCTATTGCAGCAGTCAACAGAGGGTGCAGGGATGAAAAGGAATACAAATGATATTACCTGATAACTCTCAAATGGTTCTTCCCCTCGATGAACTCCTCGTTCCCAGATATTTGATACTTCCAGTACCACACTGCACAATGAGATGCAAGGCCCACTAGCACTGCTGAATGTATTTCAAAACAAAGACTTCTGTAACGTGTGTTGCAGCATTGACTTCAGATAGGAAGTCCTACCGCTTTCTGGAATCAATCGAGGGCTTTCATCATGCTCTAGAAGTTGTGAGTTCTGTCAATGCTTCATCTAAAGAAGTTTGAAAAAACAGCCTAAAACGCTGTGCCTGAGCCCCAACACGCTTCCAAAAAAACAAAACAAAACACACCAATAAAACACGACAACAAAAAGCCCTCAAGCACAGCTCATTTCAGGTCCAGTGAGACTTCCAGTCAGAGGTCTCAAAGCAGTTAATGTGAGGCTGTTGCAACAGTCCTGACAGCGTTTGGATGATGTTCGCTGTTGTCTGCTGGTAGGGCTGTTTTTGTTTTTCTTCCCAATAGAAGCTACAAGCTATAAAATGAGGCCCTAAGTAAGGGGGCCCATTTCGTTGGAGAAAATTCTATTCTTCAAGCAAACTTGACTTCTACCAAACTGTTTTAATGCAGTATTCTGAATAACAGAGTTAAATTAGGTGTTTTTAAAGAAAGAAAAAAGACATTTCAAAGTAGCCACCCACATTTACGGAGAGCAGGCATGCTCACGACTATGGCTGTAAGTTATTCCTAGGCAGAATTAACACATCGTTCACATCAGTCAGTGTGAAATGGCGCTACAACTTGTTGGGATTTCCTGCTTAAGCTCTGTTGTTTCTACAGGTGGGTCTGTTACCTGAAAATTGAGACATCTATGTCGGTTTTGTTTTTATATACTTGTTTTTATATACTGGGACCTAAACACATCTCAAAGCCATACAGGACCCTTTTACCCTACGGTCAGAGCCACCTATTTGATGCTCTGCTAGAAGTTCCTTCCCAGGCTACAGTGTGCTGACAATGGAACTTCCATGCCCAGTCCTAAACGAAGTTCTGAACAAAACCTGGCATATTACTCTGCACTTAAAGGAGGAAACATCACGCACCCCTTCCCTCCCCCCTCCATACACACACACCACACAGGCACCATTCAGAAGCTCCACTGTTTACCAGCACAACAACTCTGACAGGGAAAGCTCCTTGGTGCTGTGCTGCGTGATACCTTCTACACCAAGCAGCAGAGCAAATTGGAAAGGCTGAGAACCGCTGCCCTGAAATACACTACAAGCTCCTTCAGATCTTCAGGGACGAAGAGTGACAACGTGCTCTGTAAGGAAAGCAGCGGCAGGAAATGCATTTTCGACAGAAGAAAACAGAAGTCTGTTTAAAAATAAAACCCAGACACGGAGCTACATGAACACGTATTTACTGCAAGTAGCTCTATGGAAAGCCAAGTCAGATAAATATAAACACTATACAGAGCTTCAAGCCAGTCTCCCAGAACCGCAGATGCGATGTGTTTTACAAAGAAAACAA